GTGGTGATTTAATGTAGTTCAATTATTTTCAAAGTGTTAAGTACCATGATTATGAAAATAGGAGTTTAATGATTTGAGTTGATAAGAGTTCAATAATTTTGAAATATATAGAGTTCAATAATTGTGAATATATGAGGTAAAATGATTATAATAGATTTAGAGTTCAATTACTTGTTTGATTTGAAATTCAATGAAAATGTGTTTAGAGAGTACTATTTTTTCTTGTTTATGAGGTTTTATGAGTATATGTATAGTAGGAGTTCAATGATTTGTAAAATGGTAGAGTTTAATGAAATTAATTATGTGAAGTTTTATGAACTATATTAATTGTGGGTTATTGCATGAATATGCATTGCATGATCTTAAGAGGCAGGAGTTCACCTAGAAAGAGAAGTGAAGGATTAAATTCACATGGTAGGACTCCATCCGAGTTGATAGCTTGCTTGAATCGTATATGTACCTATTGTCCCATGTGTTCAACATCTATCACTAGTTCAACAAGAGACTCAAACCTAGCTAGCTATCAACTAGTTCAACGAGGAAGTTAATTTAGGGAGTATGACACTTCATAGTGTGAGAAAATAGGGAAAATCATGTTTCATAAGTGAGTTGGGTAAGTCTTGGCCGGGTAATCCTCTCACAAGTTTTTAGGCTAGGAGAGTCCTGGATTATAGACTATTCTAGTGTACTATAACCCACGGTTTTATGTCAAAGGAATTAGGAGGATATAAGGGACGTGTGATATGCATATAGTGATTGAGAGTACATGATTGTCTGTATTATGACCCCAATGATGATACTCATGAATTGAATCTTAATCACTTTTGAGTATATGTCATTTGATTGTGTAACAAACTTTCTTCTATATGGAAGTTGTTAAAAAGCATTATTTTCCAAATATGTGCTATTATGCCTGAAAATGTGAATTTATACTCTTAAACATTTTATGTTGTTTAGAGAATTGATTATATTTTTTACTTACATTTAAATTAATTGACATATATTAGTATAAGTTAATTAATTTTGGTTACTGAGTGGTTGTACTCATCCCACTGTCTTCAATATTATAGGAAATAGCTCAAGATGATTGGATAGAGGAAAGCAATCAGAGGCTTAAGATTGCAATCCTATTTAGTAGGCCTCTTTATTTTTGAGTCATTATATGTATGTGACAATTAAAATTGCCAACTAAGAATAATCCATTGGATCCTTACTTGTATTATGTTTTTTGTGAGTTGTAAGTATATTTTGGGCCTTAGAAAGTGAGTTTATGAAATGTGATATCTATGATATGGCTAAAATACTAATGTAAATAAGAGTTAGGCATAATGTGTGATGATTATGATTTATTTGATGAAAAAGTTGCTTGAAATCCCCCTTATATATTTTTGAGATTAAGGGGCTAAGTAGTAAAATTGTGATCTATAAGTGTTTGGTACAATGTGGTGCATTGCATAAGTTAATTTTGGTGTATTGCACATGGTCTAAGTGGTGTCAATGATTATTGGCTTTTGATGAATGAATTGGACACTTAGTTTTGAGAAAAATATTAAAAAAGTATAAGTTTTGAAAATATATCTAAATTTTGATTGTGTAATAATTTGATTATGAAATTAAGGCCATTAGTTAAATTTTGAAAAGAGCTTTTTATAGACATTAATTTGCATCAATTGGATGTCAGACGAAGGAATGGGACACATCAAAAGTTGTCTCAAAAGCTATCATTTGATAGCAGAAAGTTGTTGTCATGATACATGCAATGTGCCGCAACACATGATACTATAAGGCACGGCGTATGCCTTAAATTTTTATAGAATTATTTTATTTTCAAATTCTTTTGCTAATGCGCTCATGTTTGAAATGATCCTATACTTTCATATAATTGTGAACTTTAATTTATTTATTTTAAAGCCTTTGAAAATGGTGTTTGTTTTTAAACACTTGGGATTCTGACTTTTTCACCTAATTGTAACTAGGTATTATGTTAATTAATTGAATCCAATCTCTTAATTAATTGAGATTTAGAGTTAATCAGATTTAAAAAAATGAAGATATTACAACTAGCCCCAGCTGCAACGAAAACTTGTGCGCACTACATCATAAAATTGGACTAGCCCTGATTAGAGGCATGGATACTTGACATTTAGTGTGTCTTTTGTATGAAAAGGTTGTGGGATCACATTTGAGGAAAGACTGTTAGATTGTCTAAGTATGAATGAACTAAAAATGATGTGAGAAGTCTTACATCAAAAAAAAAAATTAGGCTTATTAATAATTAATATAAAATAAAGAAAAATAACCCATAAAATTAAATTTTGAGGTTTTAAATTAAGATATAATTCCTTTAATCTTCCCCATGCCTTCTCTTCTCCTATTCTCAGGTGGTGGCTCCCCGTTACTACCAAAAATAAACCACCCAAAATTAACATTAATTATCAATTAAAATATGGTCAATATCTAATGGCCACTAAATTATTGTAAGGAGGAAGGTGGCGCCACTAATCTCTGTGTCCATTTTATACAGGGGTGCAAAATATTCATCATGCTGACATAACCAGTTACACCATAATTAATTATTTATAACCCAGGATTTAAGCTGCGCTAAGGAAATATCTGCCACGAGAGATTTTTTCTCTCTCGTTTTGGTCTGTGATGTTTCTTTAATTTGTTTGTCATATTATTTGTCTAAAATGGATAGAATTATACTACATCTATAATGGCATTAATGCTTTAATTTTTAAAAGTGGATTAGCCATTTAACACAGCTGTCCTGTAATTGTTTGCCATCTATGTTAAAGAATAAACTTTCCCCCAGATATGATCTTTGATGATATTTCCAATATATAAATATCCAAGCTTCGTTTCAATCGTGGACACTTTTACTTACTTGTGCATACAGCATAAGCCAATCATCTTTTCAAGAACCAACGACTTGTTGCTTGCAAATAATATTAAGATTTAAGAATGACATCTCTGCGAAGGATATTGATTTGCTAAACACAAAATTCTATTTAACCACTAATATAATCATTCCATTTATCTACTCAGCGTGCCAAATATTTAACAGTAATAATTATTTAGTCATGCTTTATTTATGACTAATTAATTATCACTGTACTGGAATAGATACATATAGAGAACGCGGAATATTTAATTGCTCCACTGGAGAAGTTTAAAGGAAAGTGGCATCACTAATTATATTATTATAAATATTTTTAACGTTAAAAGAGCATCGGGGACGTTGAAAAATTGAAGTGATGATAATTCGTAAGCCAACAATTCCTACCACCACTAGCAATCTAAGCAAAGCAATAACCTGATAGTAAAGATTTGATTAATTGAATCGCATGCGTGTTGACAACATCGCCATCTCAATCTCACCCATCAGCACTAAGCCCTTATTTTCAGCAAATATTATGGATCCATCACTGCGAGCTATAATATTGCTGCATCTCTCTCTCTTTCTCTCGCGAGTGCCTTCTAAGTCTCAGGACCTGAAATTTCCAATTCTTCGATCGCCACAGGTTCTTGGAACTGACCTTGCATGTCTGCTTCAAAATTGATTGCTACCTGCAGCTGCTTTTGTATCAAAGTTGGATTTTGAAGCCTAACAAGCCATGTAAGCTTCTTCTCATGCATATAAAATTCTGAGGTGGACCACCACCACTCTCCCTAATGTGTCACAAGGCCGAACTATGTCACTTATTACATACGATTCTGATGGAGGATATGTCGAGTGACAAGGACCGAAAGGGAGAAAATTAAAGCTTACGATTCAATTGGCTGCTTTTTTTTTTTTTTATGAATGTCGCAAGAAAAAACTGAAGTCTTGAACAAAATCTACTCTTCACGCGTGCATGATGAGAAGCCTTTATAACCAAACCAAAAAAAGATAAAAGAAAATAGAGAAAAGGGGGGGCAACTTTGAATAATCTGAAGGCGGATCTCCTAATCTAAATTGTGTAATTCACTTCAGCAAATATGGAACTAAGCAAGACAAGTGAGAATTAACTAATGAGTTCATTATTCTCCCTCTCCTGTAATACGGGATCAATCCCTGAAAATACCGTTAAAATCAAACTTTTTAATTAGAAGTGTTTCCTTTTAAGCTTATAATCGCCGGATCCAACTGCTCATAAGCATACGGAAATTACTGCATGTGATCGGAATGTAATGTAATTTTCTATCATAACTAAACCAACAAGCTAAGGTTCGTTTACTCCTTCTGTTGTATGTTGACTCCCAAGACTAATTCAATTACCGATCGACCTTCAACGACGTGCTTGTTTGTTTTCTCTGTAGACATTCAAATCAACGTCTTCAAGAAGCAGCAATAATTATGAACCCCACTCTCATTCACATCGTGATAGATAAGTAAATTTTCTTCAAAATTCGGAATTGAATTAAGCCATAAAATGAAATTAAATTAACCATTTTTTTAAATAACAATAATTTCATCAAGGACCCAAAGTTATAAAATTAAATCACCAAAAATAAACTAAATTACTAACAGTATTTAAGCTCAAGTCTACTAATAAAAAAGTACCATTTAGCCTAGAAAGAGGGGGAAAATTACTCATGTTGAGAAAACCTCCCCCAATTATGGCCTGAGCATACAAAAATTTTGAATTAGGAGGGGCAAAGGAAATAGTGAAAATATGTGTGATTGGAATTTTTTGAAGGAGCACTCGGAAGAGTGGTCAACCACTTGGGCTTCCTCTGTGAGACATTCTTCCGGTCACAATCCACTTCCACTACACACCATCCTCTTAACCTGTCTCTCTCACTTTATTCTATTGACTCTCCAACTCGGCTCATTTATATGCACGTTTTAACTCAAAATGGCCTTCCGAGTCAACTCTCGAGTTTTACATGGGCATCCAATTTATCACCATTTAAATGATGATATGGAGTTTGGGCTTTGGATGGTGTTTTTGGTAATATTGAGACCTCCGTGAGGGTATTTTCCGAAGCAAGATTTCTTAAATACGCCCTGAAGCACTGCTCCTTCCTCTCATTCCGAAACCAGCTGAAAACTAATAACCACCTCCGAAACTAGCATTTTGTTTCTTTCTCCATTTAAGCACTTTCCGAGAGATAAAAATATAAACCATGGGCAATTGCTTAGTCCTTCAAGAGAACATCGTCAAGATCGTCAAAACCGATGGCAAAGTTCTTGAATACAAGGCACCCATTAAAGTCCACCAAGTTTTGACACAGTTTTCGGGCCATGAAATATCTGAGTCACTGCCTGTCGTCCGGCATCTCCAGCCCAGCACCAAGCTGCTCCGAGGTCAGTTATACTACCTCGTACCGCCGGCACCGAAAGCTGCGGCAAAAAAGGTAAGGTTTGCGAATCCAGAAGTAGAAAGTGAAGAAGAAGAAAGCAGAGTGGTAAGGATTAAGGTGGTTATCAGTAAGAAGGAACTGCAGAATATGCTGTGCAAGGGAGGTATTTCAATTAACAACATATTACCTCTAGTTCGTGATGAAAACGGAGAAGATCATGATGGTGAAGATAAAACTGACTATGGTTGCCAAGAGTGGAAGCCAGCACTAGAAACCATACCGGAAGTAAACTAGCGATATTTTTCTTTTGAGTTACGTTTTCAGTGTTTTTTCCTCATAGCTCACTAGTTTTGATTAGCATGCTGAGTAACGCTGTATTATACGCACATACATATCGGAAAAACACAATTAGCATCTCATCCTGGTGAGACAGGCGATCAATACTTCACATTCTCTCAGTGCTGGGTCCTGATCAGTCATTACGTAAACTTGCCGTTAACGCAGTTCATCAACTAGGTTTTCCGTACGTCTTTAGATTAACATAAAACACAATTAGATGGTGACCAGCTAGCAGACAGGATATACATGTGGTTAGCTTTACGTTAAAAGTCCCTAAAACCAAAATTTTTATGGCGTTAATTTTTAACATTATAAAACTAAACATATTCTAAATATCTGTCTTTGTTTCTTTAATTTTTTGCATTCAAATAGCTTTGTGGCCACAGGGCACGGACAATTAAGAAAGGCAACAAGCGTTATATTAATTATAAGCAAAAAAATAACCATGGATCACCTTCTTATGTAAAAGAAAGTGTGTGGGAGCTCTTTCTATTATTCAACCCGAGCGACATTAAAGAATTGAAAAGGAAAAAAAAAAAGTTAAGAGAAAAGGAAAGGATGGGGGCTAGAGCATCATTAATGGTAAAAAAATTCCAATGGCTAAAACTCATTAGCTTCTCTCATATGATGATTAAGATAAAATACCAATGGAGAAAAAATGATCATGTTCGCCATTCTTACAATGATGTTGCTATTGCCATCACCATTTCTTTCCCTGTTTCTACGCAATATATATATATATATATATGGCAATAACACCTATTGATGCACCTATGAAAGTTATATAAATAATACTATACCAACTAATCCAATAATATTAATTAGGAATTTGCCACTTGCCAGCAATTAAACCCAGAGAATGTCTTTCAGAATGGTTTGAAAATTTTAAATATATGATTGAGCTTGTTAAATATCTTCCCATCAACTATTTATCATTTTGTTTCTCACAAATCTCCAACTTCTGAGACCCATTTTTGCCTTCTTTTCTGTGCTACCTCGTGGAACAACTTCGCCATCGCAGTCTCTCGCCGTGACTCTACTTCCTCTGAAAGCTTTTCACACGATCCACAGATTTTTGTGTAGGGTGAGTTTGATTCTTTTTCTCAGCAATTTTCCTCACCTGCATTTTACACTTGATCTTATCTAGAACCCTGGATTGTGTCAAGCTAGGCCCTGTTTATTTACAAACTAACGCCTCTTCATTTTGGAATTCAATCGAACTTCCTCTCGTTCCTAATTTGGTTATCGAAACCACGCTTGCAAAATATTGGCATGTGGATATTCCCCCCATTCGCTCTTTCCTTTTCCTGTTAGATGACGTTATAAGAATGTATCGTTATTAGTCAAGGTGAATACAATTTGTTTAATCTCCTCTGATAAACGAGGATAATGAAATGACTATTATTATATTAGAAATGACTAGAATGGTCTAGAAAATAACTAAATTTTGAACCATAATTTAAATAAAATTGTTTATATTTTAAATTTAGTTATTTATTTTTCTTAATTTTATATTTTAATAATAAATTTATGAGATATTAAACTCGAACCATTTAAAAATGGATTGAGACGGGAAGTGAGAAAATAAAAATAAAAATAAGAGAAATGGAGAGAAGGCAGTTAGAAGAAAGAATTGCATTGATTAGCGTGAGGTATGAGAAAATGGAATAACTTCAGGGGTTCCGATCCTCTTCTCATTCCTTCTCTCTCCTTTTCTTCTCCTCATCCTCATTTCCACCCTTAAACAACAACATGAATGGTACAGATTTATTTGTTTTATAAAATAATTATCAAATTATTATATAAAAATAAAAATAAATTTAAACATTTTACCTGTACAATTTACAGTTATATACTGTTATTATTTTTTTTATAAATTACATTTTATTTCAGTTATAAACTATGCAGATTAAATTTTAACAATTTAAAATTATTTATTTATTTTTTAATATAATATTATGATGATTGTTATATAAAATAATTGAATCTGAACCCTTCATTTTTTAGTCAAAGGTGGAGATGGGGATGAGGGGAAGAAAAGGAGAGAAGGGATGAGAACAGGATCTCCTTCCATAGCCTTCAGGGCAAAAGATGTAAAAAGAGACGGGAGACAATGAGCTGGCAATATGTAATGGCAGTGTTGCCCTGTTGGGTTTAAAAAACAGGAGAATAATAGCAACGTTCAGGCGTTGGCGAGCTTCTTCCCTCCCTTTTTTCACTTTTTCTAACTTACCAATCAGCTGTTGGTAAAAAAAAAAAGGCACTCAACTTATTTCAATGATCGTCTTCTTCATCATGGCATTTATTGTTCTCCTTTTTTTTTTTCGTTTTTCTTCTTCTTGCATTTTGTTCTTCGATCTGATTATTCCTTGGCTTATGATCATGTTTCTTCCTCAATAGTCCTCCCCCATGATCATGTTTATTTCTCAATTAGCTATTGGTAAAAACAAAAAAAAAAGGCGGTATAGTTTGGTGAAATAAAAGTTAATGATTTGTTATTTTCAGGTTAAAAGTGCATTTTTATCTTTTAAGCATTATTCGAGGAGCGTATAACACCATAAATTATTAGTTAGAGCAATTTTTTTAAAATAATCAAAACAAAATATTTTTATTTTTGTCATCAAATTTTCAATGTTTACTATTAAAAAATACTAACTACAACTCTAACTTTAATTGTTGGGGAATTTAACAATAAGAGTAAAAATATTTTATTTTACTTGATTTAAAGGTAAAGTTGCTCCAATCAATATTATAGGGTGTTGGACATTTCTTGAAAAATATTTCAAAGGCAAAAAACATTTATACTTATATTTATAATAATAACTATTCGCATATTCCCCAGCAAGCTTTTCTTGTACCTTTTTTTTTTGTATAATTGACTGGATTATAGCTAATAATTTCTTATTACATATATAATTTTTAAATTTTCAATTATTTATTTTCACCAGTAATTCAGTGATGGGCATGGGCGTGTCTTCCTTTCCTTTCCTTTTCTTTTTTTCAAAAAGACAAAAGGGTCAAGTTACAGATAATTTTTTCTTACAAAAGTGTCGAGTACGGGCCACTCTAGTCTTATTTTATTCTTGGATCCATGCAGATAAGGCGGAAGCAACAATAGAGTTTAGTGTCTGGCACCAGACACTTCGGTAGGAAAACAAAAAAATTGAAATGTTAATATTAACATGCATAAAATAACATGGCGAAAGAGAGTTAAAAAAAAAAGAAAAAAGAAAAACAAAATAAAAAGAAAGAGCGAGAGAGACTGCCATGCAACCATGAATGTTAAAATTAATATACTATTTGAACTACAGAGCAGGGGATACATCGATACAATATCAGTGAAAATTAAATACATGTATAAATAAATGAAGAAAAAATCACAATCAAGTTATTAGATATTAAAAATAATATTTTACACTTCCTAAGGTTTTAAATTGAGATTTGAGATAAACATTTATTATAATAAGGTTAACATATCGAAACTTTATTATAACATTTTAGATTAAATGAAAATGGCAGAAACCTCCACCAAGTGACTGTCAAATTGTTATCTAACTATATTTACAAATGACATGCATCACAATCAGGTACACAAGATCTTCTGGTGTTGGAGTCTCTGATTCATGTCATACCGGACGAGTTCCTATCTCGCTATTTACAACAGGGCTGTTGAAAAATTAAGAGTGCCTCCTGATTTTAAATTTGGAGGACAGAGTTCCTATTCACCTTTCCATTCTACCTCCAATGCAATCTCGTTGCGTCGTTGAAATGGAAGCGTGAACGGGGGATTATACTGCAATCAAAATAAAGAACAAATATCACAAGTTGGACAAAAAGGCTACTCGCTGAGACTTTTTACCCTTGCGGCACGGTTTGTTACCCTGAAAATTTAAAATTCCCAGCATCTATAAACATACTTATAAACTGCAAACCAAGCAGCCCCTAAAGCTCTCACCTGCGCAACTTCTACTGAAGAGCCCTCTTTAACTTTATATTCTCTGTCCCTTTTCAATCCTTCTCGTAGTTTTAATTCTCGTCGCTGAACTTCTTCATCATTCACGTAACCTGATTCAGAACGCAAGAACGGTAAAATATTTCAATGGGATCTGAAAAACATTTAAATAGAAATGATTTCTTCGTTTCTTCGTGCTTAGTACAACTAATGGTACGAGGCCGACTAATTCATTTTTAACTTTATATAGAGTTATCAAATAACGGAGTTTTGTGTATATAAAACATGCACACATCCACCTAAAACTTTATGATTCAAGCGGCAATTACCTGGCCTTCCTAGGTTGGGCTAAGGCACCGGGCTTAAAAGACTAGGTTCGGTGCAAAATCAAGCTAGGCCAATGCCCAATCCAGTCAGTTTTAGTTCTCAACTCGTCTTCTTTCCTTTCTAAACATATACAAACAAACTCACGTAGTTCTCAACTTCTCATGATCTAGAATTCTAGACTGTGGACTTTGTACTTTCAATAGTACTGAAAATTTAAAGTGGTACAGCTTTACTGTCTAATATAAATGGAATCATAGATGAAGAAGGGAAAAAATTCCATATTTAATTTCTTATTAAAAAGGCAAGGGCTAACCTGAAAAGGCAACTACCGCAACTATTTTTCTGGGGACCTCTTTGATCATCACAGAGGAATCTTTAGGCAATGGTAAGTTGGCACCATACTTTGATGGCATGACAAAAGACATTTTCCACTTTCCATGATCTTCCATCTAAAATAATGTCATACTGGATTAGATCATTATTGGAAAGAACATTGAAGGAATTGCAGTATCTTATGCAAGTTAATTGATGATTTAACAGCAATATCTTATGCGCGTTCCGAAGTAAAAGAAAACCAAGATCCCCTTTTCTACAATATAGCTACAATTATATTGTTAAAAGAGCTCTAAGTCAATTAAGCTTGAATTCTGTCACGCTGATAGCGGGAGGTCAAAATCATCCATTTTGAGAATAAGTGGTCCAACTGTTTCACTACCACAAGCAGAACAATGTGTCTTGAGTTTAGTTACTCATAAGAGATCATTCTAGCAATATTTAGGAATTACTTTTGTCTATGTTCAGTTGCACTTCATAGTTTTATGCTGTGTCTGCAAGGGTTTGTCAGTTTTGGCTGTTAAGCTGCTAGCTATTGTTTTCACTTTTTATATCTAAAGAGATATGATCATATTTATCAAACTAAATAACTCAGATTATTGATAGCCTCACCGGCATTGTATAAGAAGTATAAAAGTAAAGATAGAGATTGAAATTGCACAAATTACATGGAAAAGAATAGTACCCTTGTTGTCAACACAGGCGTTGTCATATCCATTTTAACCCCGTCATTCTCATCCTTGCGTGTAAAAACAGGTGTTGTCATCTCCATTTTCTCCTTCTTTGTGTTCTAATATCATAATAACAGTATAAATCCATTACTCATTTTAAAACATGAAGGAAAAAGAACAAAAGATATTCGTACGTCACTTCCACATGCAAAAGTTTCACTGCCTAATAGTGAGTGTCTATGAATTCAGTTACTCGGAAAGAAGAGAGTAACAACTACACGGGTGCAACTAGTGTGCATCCGCATGTACCATTACTCGAAAATAGAAAGGGATGTAGTGACCAAAGGCAGCCCAGTAACGTAATTGAAGTTCAGTTCTGAAACTAAAAATTACCTTCCCAAAAAGATATTCAGCTAGGACATTAAAGGACTGGGAGGCACTATAGAAGTCAAAGCCACTCTTCCCAGGCATTGTAGTCTCTGCTACAGAGTAAGGCTGCATAGAATAAAATCACATCAAGGTGAGAAACATGCCCAATAGCCCGAGACAAGATTGTTCACCATAACAGCAAATCACTTTATTTTTTTTTGGAAAAAAAATTAAGCACATGGAGAGTTTCGCGCAGAGTCGTACACACACAAACACCCACCCACCCACACACACACACACACACACACAATGAAAAGGACTACAGAACACGTACAAGCCCCTTCTAAGAGGAAATATCAAATTCAACGAAGATTTACTTCATCCTGCACCCACACGTCATGGGTGTACAGCTTTGTATGCTGTATATTAGGTGTTTGCTTTCTAGCTAAAACATTTTCCTTAGTCGATTTATCTTCAGTCAATACAGATGGAACCCATAAATACCTCAATTTCCCTGATCTCATACTGGTCCCGCGTACCGAGAACTTTGAACTTCACAGTCTCAAGGTCCGGAACTACAGAGAAGGCCCAAATAATTCGCAAAACGGGAAAAGGAACAATTAGAATAACTCAATTTCATATTTGACGATGAAAATCAATCATATATAATACCTGCCATCAGAGCCTCTTCGAGAGTCCGGCTTTCAAATCTTTTGGGAAATATGTATTTAGCAGTTTCAGTGGCCGCGTCCGCTAGAACTGTGACGGAAATCCGTAAAAACCAATCAAGTGAATTAGATGGATGGCAGAGCGAAGACACTAACTTACAAGAGGAAATAAAAAGAATTGTGCATTTACGTCTCTGAGACAAAGAAGTGGCTTGGGAAGCAAGAGCGAAAAGCAGAGAGTATCGAGCTTCGAACGCAAACATGGTTCTTCGCTGGGTTAGAGATGTGCTGATTCTGTTGCTGGACGCAGAATTGGTAATAATCGATGAGTTTTTTTTAGGGGTTCCTGGAAGGGGGACGAAGACTAACGATGGGTTGTTGCAAAAAAGCATTTTTCCTTAGGAACTCGAGGCACGACCTTCTATGTATGGTAATGAATGGTTGCCTCGCCTCGCCTCACCTCATAGGTTATGGTTTTGGGTTTTTTGAATATCTGCCGCTGAGTGCAGAAAGCCAGAAAACGATTGAATTTGGAATGTGTGTCACATAAGAGGTCATTAACTACGATTTTTTCCGGGAGTTTTGAAATACATATTATTTTAGACTTTTGCTACAGTGCACCCCAATTTTCTTCTTAATCTCATAAGCCGTACATAACTCATTGATACTGGTGCTCCGTCCTGTTCCAGCTTCTATGTGTTTGGATTAAAAAATTTAACTGAGGTTAGGAGTCAATTGAGGTTAGCAAACTGAAGTTAGAAAAAAAGTCAATTAATGTAACGTGATTTATGTTTGGATACTTTTTTTTCAAAAGTCAGTTAGATAAATTAAAATTCGTTTGGATGATTTGATTAAAAAGCCAGTTGATAAAATAGGATGTTTATACTTTTTGACTAACTAATAAGTAAAAAATATTAAACTTCAAATCACAATTAATAAGTAAAATATCTTAAATATTCAATTACAAAAACCTAAAATAAATTAATATTCAATTGATATGAAGTACAAATTGAACTTTAAAGGGTATCCTTTCCATTGTAACCACTTCAATTCTAGAGGGAAAGATTTGAACTTCCCTTTCAATCTCACATTATTGATCTGAAGCAGCACCAAGTTCACCATTGTTTCGAAGGACTTGGTTTGAAGCACTACAGCATTTCTATCTATCTTAACTTGTTGAAAATATTTTTTGTTCAACTGCTTAAGGAATGCCCAGGCATTTGCAAAACTCAAACCCCATTGAAGGTGTTTCCCAAAAATTACTTCATCCTTATGATCTTTAGTAGATCTTTCCTCTAAGTCTAGGACTATGCCTTGAATACTCCTCGTTCCCTACGGTATCGAAAGCAGCCAAATATTTAACAACATATGTAAGGAATTGGTATTGTTATCAGGGGAGCGGAGAAGAAGCTATAAAAATCGCTAACACCAAAAATCTGAGGCACTTGTGTGAAATGCATGTCAGACATTATATATAATATTTAATGCATGTCAAGATTTTCCATTGGTCTAATATATGCACAGCATGCAATTTGAGAACGTATTACGACATTGTAGTATTTTATTGAACCAAATTTGATTAAGATAATTGCAATATGATTAAATAATCTGACATGGCTGCCTTATAAAATTCTGTCTTTTCTTTTGTTTGTCTTAGTCACTCCTCCTGCCCGTAAAAGACAAGTAATGCGAGGACATGCATTCTTTTGTTTTACTGAAACATACAAACAACTATCACCATTTAACTTTAAATTCTTTTGGAAAAACTCAGCAACAGAATAGTGTAGTTATCTACATAAACACCCATTTATTTCAAACCCCATTAAAAAAATGAAAGTAGAGCAAATAGTTCAGACTTTATAAACCAAAGCAATAAATGAAAGCTGCTCACAGTTCATTAAAAAAGAAAAAAGAACCAGAGTGAGGACGGCACAGCAAGGAATGAGGTGACGTAGGCAGAGCAAAATCAGAAGATGAAGAGGAAGAAAAAAAAACTCAGCATAGCAGCAACCTTCGTCAACGAATGAGATGAAAGGAAGAACCTTAATTGCCAAGGACAGTCGATGAGGAGTAGATCCAGCGACGAAAATCTCAGATCTGGTGGAGATGGTGGAGATCGAGACGCGACTGTAATGTGGAGAAACCACTGCTCAAGAAACTATACTTTCATCTCAGACCTCGGTGCTTCAACATGGAGATGTTGGAGCTTCAACTAAGGTAGAAGAGAAGCAGATCTGAACGCGACCTGGTGCTAGATGTCTGGAGCTCAGGAGGTGAAGCGAAGCAGATATAGAGGTGCTGCATAGGAGGTCACGGGAGGAAGAAAGCAACACAAAAAAAAAACCAGATACCTCGTGCCTGGCAGGTTGAAAGCTAAGAGGAGAGAGAAAGCATGCAAATTTTAAAACATAATTTAATGAATGCAACGGTTTGCAACGTGAACGCTGATGCAAAAGCCAAGAGAGTGGGCTTCCGAAAAAATGCTCTTTTTTTGCTAACTGAGGTTGAGATTTTTTCTTAATCCAAACAAAACAAAATGAACTTTTTTTGTTCTAATATCAGTTGGGCTGATTCTAACTAAGGTTGATAGCTAATCCAAACATGCATTAAATATAAGTTGGTTAACTAATTTACAATTGTTAATAAAATAAGTTAGGTTTTCCTTAAAAAAATCAGTTTAGTTAATTATTTGCTATTAATGTATTAAACTTATTTAATAGTTTTCATAAGACATTTTTTTCATTAATTTAGTCTAATACTTCAGTCATCCTCGAAACAAACTCCCCAAACAAAATTTAGTTTTCATTAACTGAGGTTTTTTTTTCACGGTGATTGAAGAAATAGTTTACTATCATTATTGAAAAATGTTATTTATAAAATGAAGAATCACACATTAGGCCTTAAAAGAGTAAAAAATTGCACTTCTAGCTCAATAAATTTTATTATTACACTGTAGGGCCAAGAGCGCCTGTTACAATTTTTTTAAGAGTGAAAGTACAATTTTGCTCTAATATGATTTAAAAACTCAAATCATATACAATACAATATTTATCGATGTACAATACAATATCCATGCATTTTTAATTGATCAATAGATTTAATAAAATGTACAAGTGATATATACAATATATAGCATAATGTTCATAGACACACAACACAATGTTCATACATTTTCAATTAAATGTCCATGCGTGGACACACATGAATATTATTTTAAGAATTCATTAACATTATATTGTGTATCTATAAATATTGTATTATGCATGCAAATAATATGAATATCGTCCTGTGCATTTATAGATATTTTATTGTGTATTCATAAATATTGTGTTATACATGATCTAAGTTTTTACATCACATAAGGGTAAAATTGTACTTCCACTCTCAACAAAATTTAAAACAAAAACTCTTGAACTTGTAGTACAATATCAGAATGTATTACACTTAAAGTAAATTTTTTTGCTATTTTAAAATTTACAGTGCGAGTCTTCCTTTATAAAAAGAAAATAACATCATAGTCCTTCACCCCCCCTAGCTTGATTGCATGCGAACTTATTTAAAACTTCAAAAATACTCATGAATTATACTATTTATAATTGCAGAGTAAAATGTTTTTTTGGTTTGGTACAATGGAATGGCTTTTGGTGGAGCGAAAGTGAGAATGGAAATGGGAGCGAGGGTAAAAATGAGATTTTAAAAATGTATAGCATGTGAAATACTGACATAGCTTTTATTCCATATTTATAATATAATAGCAAAATATCATTTTTACTCTTGGCCTGAACAAAAAAAAAAAAAAAGAAAAAAAAATTGCTTATGAAGCAAGAACATTCTCAACCATCGTGCACAAATTGTTGCCAACAAACAAGAGAGCAAAACCACCAAAAAACTAGCGAAAGATCAACTTAAGAAGCAGCAAAACAATATTGAAAAAAAAAAAAAAATAGTAACTCCAAATCGAACAAGGACCCAAGCTAAACCGCCCGAAAGAGGCTTGGACGGTACTACGCATGCATCTCCATTTCAGTGGTTGAATTTACGAATTGATCAAAATCAGTATGGACATCTTCATCAATGGCGAAACGCGAAAGTCGAACAATGAATGACCCAAATCACTAATAGTGGAGAAGAGCGCCGAACTCTGGTGAAGAAAGGGAACAAATCCCCTTTCTTGACTTCATGACTGCGGTAGCGGACAAGATTTATTCAGCGACAGAGAAGATGATGGAGATCTCAGATTTGGGTTGCCGCCATTACACTGGAGAAAGGGAGATGACTGGAGACGGAGGCTACTAAGAACAAAGGCCATTTTTGTCGACGTTCAAAGTTGGGTAGAAGACAAAAATGAGGAGGAGGTTGGAAGGTGAGGGTTGGCGATGGAGGTCCAACAACGACAGAGAAGCCAGTCGGAGTGTGAGGGAGAGGAACCACGATGGAGAAGGGGAGACGGTAAGATGGCAATGCATTGCAGGGGTCATTTGGTAAAAGAAGAAGTGTGTACGGTTAATTGCAACAAACTATGATTAAATATAATTTTAAGCTGGGGTAATTTAATCGCTCAAAAATTCATTCCCAAAAAATGGACCAATTATTAAAGAGTATCAATCAGTTCGATGTCAAAATATTTAAAATCAATTGGCCTAACAATGCTCAAAGTATAAATCGAATCAAACCAAAGATTAAATTGAAATTTAACAATTAAATTCAGTTAATTAATTTGGTTTTGAACTACTTGGATTCGAGCTAACTTTTTTTTTTTACTAAAATAATCAAAACTTATATATAAAATTGAACTTGTAAGGTAATAATAGCCATGAGGTTTAGAGTTTCAACTTATTAAATTATATACTTACTTTTATTTAAATATAAAATAAAAAAATAAAATAAAATAAAGTAATTAATAAACTAAATATAATTTATAAATTAATAAATACAAACATATATATATATGATAATTCGATGGGCTAACCTATTCAATTTTAAATCTTATCAATTAAGTCGAACCCATCAATTAAAAAAATTTTCAAAAAAAAAAACTTGAATAAATTAAATCAAATAATAAAAATTCCATTCAGTTTTGCTCACTCCTATCAAACCATGGTCTGTTAATGGAATAAAGATTACCTCAAATGAGGTAATGAGCCATTCCATGGTAATGACTACTCCCGTGTGTCAGATGAGGTAATGAGTTGTTCCATTATCCCGCATTCCATTGCACCAAACGTGGCCTTAGAGGAGAAGAGAAAATTAATCAAGCACCTTTGAGAAGATGGGCATCAGGCCGTTGTCTCGTGACTTTCGTAATTATCGCGTGACTGAATAGGGCCAGGTGCCTTATTTTATAAAGAATATATTACTTCAGTCGTGATTCTTCATTAGTACTTTATGTAGAAGAGAACAGAGAGAAGAGCTAATTCCCTGAACCCATACTCATACATGAACACAGAGTCTGAGACGACATTTCTGCTCAGATAATAAAACTTGAAAACAAGCACTGATTTAAGTCGACACCCTTTTATAAGGACATTCAACGATAACAAAATAATGAGGGCAGTTGGTAAAACACTACTTCTCAAACGAAATACATGGCCATCTGAACAGAATTCTGCTTAAAGCCACACTTCTCGTAGAACACTTTGTTCTCAAGACTGCAATCAAGTATCACCTTATAGCACCCCATTGAACGGGCATGATCTGTAAGGAACTGGATAACTTTCTTTCCCAATTGCTTCCCCCGTGCACTGGAATGAACAACAACATCTTCAATATGTCCAACCTTGCCACAATTTCTTAGAAACTTCTTTTCAATGAACACACTTCCTGTAGCAATAATCCTCTCACAAAGTTCATCTTCTATAACACATATAACATGATCATCTCTGATAGAACTGAGCTCGTGAAATCGATCCTGAAATTCCTTGTCAGAAACTGAATCACAGACACTAAGTTGTTGCAGCAACTCTATGAAACCTTTCCCCTTGTCTGAGATCTCTAATTTTCTGACTCTTAACTTCTGCTCCACGCCAGGTGACTCATTGTTCTGCATCTTGTTCAGCGCAACTTCTGTTTCTGTAAAAGTTACTGCGTATATACCATCAACTCAAATCAACCATTGGATATCACAAGAGCATTTTATCCTCAGAAAGCAGGAAAGAATAAACTAAATTTATTAATAGCATCAACAATGCACATGAGTGCCATAGAATTCATTTTTCTAACCCTAATATTATTATACTGGATCCCAATGTCATCAGCACATTGTCGTCCATAATAATTTCTTCTCAAATGGTAGCTCAAGCAACAAAGATAAAGTGAAAAGTTTGTCATTTCAAAATTCAAATAACTGTCAACAAAAAGAGCAACTACAGATCATCGAAGAGAGATTTTCTCAAGCGATGAACACCGACAGAAGTCTAGTAAATTCCCTTACGAAATAATGTGGCAGTGAATTCAGAAGGATAAAACATGATCAACATTATCAGCGTCATAGCTAAATCGTACCGATTCGAAAGTTTTCCCAATAAGAAGAAAAGGAGAAAGCAAGTACAGACGTGAGAATACCAGCAATATTGTACTAGCACCTAGCTCGTAATAACAGCTTTAATGAATCCTAGCCCCTTACATGATATTCAAAAGAGTTAAGATGCATTTTTACCCTTGAACTTTTTCTTGAGGAGCAATTTTACCTCTGTACTCCTAAGTGGGTCAATTTTATTCCTAAACTATTTTTCAAGTAGCAAAAAAACCCCTCTACCTGAGGGTGTATGGATATTGATATCGATGATATATGATACAGGAAGGGGTATGATAAAATAGTAGGAGAGAGAGGAGTTCAGTTATCTGGAGGACAAAAGCAGCGGGTGGCTATTGCATGAGCCATAGTAAAGAATCCGAAGATATTACTTCTAGATGAAGCTACCAGTGCCCTGGATGCTGAATCTGAGAAAGTGGTTCAGGATGCATTGGATCAAATCATGGTGGAAAGAACGACAGTGATAGTGGCTCGCAGGTTATCCACAGTTAAGAGTGCAGATTTGATTGCAGTAATTAAAAATTGGGTCACAGAAGAGAAGGAAAAGCATGAAACTTTGCTCAACAAAGGCGATGCCTATGCCTCTTTAGTAGCATTGCACACGAGTTCTTCTTTAAAAGAACTCAATTGAGTTCCTTCAAGTTACACGTTATATATTACTCAGCAAACCAAAGACCTTGTAAGATTAAGACTTCACAGTAAATAACTATGAAATATTAACAAGAAAAATGTCAATCTAAAGACTATGTAGGTGAACTGTCAAAGTTAAAATATAAGCAAAATTGCGTTCATGCTGAGAATGAATTGCGTTCATATTTATTGATACAAAATTAAGGTTGCTTTGTCCTTCCCAAAAAAGAAAAGAAAAGTTTTTTGTGGGTTTGGATCAGCTCGAACAAATAGTTCAAGACTAAAATTATCCCATTTATTAATATAATAGTAAAACTGCTTTTTGAGAAAAAATTTAAATATAAAAATGCACATTAACCCTATCTAAATTGAAAAGTTTATTCATTGTTACCTTCTCCGCAAAAATTGATCGTACATCAATCAAAGCCTTTGGCTTAGTTCTTTGGGAGCGAGAGGAGAGCTCGACTGAGATGCTATGAGCCTTTGGCTTTGGAGGGATCGAAACCTTGCCTTCTGAACAGCATCTGTCACTTGAGGCTCTGATGAGATTGAAGAAGATCGAAAATGATGACGTCGCTATTTGAAGCGGCGTTGCCTTTGATTGATAGACGGCTCAGATTTTGCTCCATGTAATCTGGGGGTACATGGCGCACCATGCGTGCAGCCACTCCTGCAATATTTAAAAAAAAAAAAAAAAGAGTGCAAAAGTATTGAAACGCGTCGTTTCGCTCGGACCACGGGCGCCGATATGCCCGTAAGAAGAAGCTTATACAAATATACAATCCGAGTATCTGTTGTGTATCTGACGACGAATTGTTCATTGAAAGGGGAGGGAGGAGAAATAGGAAATAGTCATGTCAAGATCGCTAGTTCGACGCTTCACGCCATTTTTTACAGCTCGAATTCGACAGAACCAGAGGCTTCTGAGCTCCTCTTCTGCGTCTGTTCTTCACCATGCCTCTCCCTCATCTCCGTCCTCGTCGTCTTCTGCCGAGCCAGTTCAAATGACTGAAAATTGTATTCAAGTATGTCTTGCTCAATCAACAAGAATACTTGCCACTTCTCTATTACTTTATATTTGTTTTTCGTTTGACTAATTAGAGTTACGGTTTAATATGCTCCTTTTTTGTTGGTATCATGAAAATTGGAATCTGATTGAGTTTCTTTGTTAAAGTGATGTAATCATTTTCGTATTTCTGCCCCTAGGAAAATTTAAGTAAAGAAATTTGTTTCCGGTAAAATAGGACGAGTTTATGCTTCTGCCATTCTGCGTATTGACGATATTTCCTCCCTTTTCTTTATTATATAAACACCGGAAAAGGCATTACTTATCCGGGACAAAAATGCGAAAAAAATTTTAGGACTAGTTATGGCGTCTGACAGGAGCCTATGAAAGAAAACAAAATTGAATCCAAGTATGAAAAGGAACCAATGCTTGAAAGAAAATAGGATCTCTTATTCGTGAAAGAGATAGAAGTACCGGTAACCAAGACTACTTCCTTTCTCAATACCCCTTTTGCAGTGGCCTTCCCCCATTTATATCCTGCCTTAGCTCTTGTAAGTTGATGCTACCCAATTCCAAGGCACAAAAATATTTTAACCATGCAGCAACTTGCGCTAACATGGCTAAATTCTTGCCTTCTCATGTGATATTCTTCCAAAGGTATAAGCCTTCATACCTCTTCGCAGGTGTATCATATTGTATTAGCATGGGTTGACGGGTGGCAAGGATGGGGCTGTAGAGCATGGCTAGGGGAAAATCTTCTGATAAAAGTGTAGATAAAAGCTATTTCCGTTATGATGAATCGTTTAACAACGCTTAGGGGGTTACAAGCAGAAAAGGTGTTATAAAAGAAAACAATTCCAAATAGAAACATAATCAGTTTTTCAAAAATGTCATCTCACCAAGTCTTCTCTGTAATTTTATGACTCTTGTGTCAATTGGTTGTTTCATGATGTAATGGAAAAGGGTTGTCAATCCCCTGCTTTGTTATTTGTTTGACAGCACAATTTATCTTGATTTTTCCAGTAGAAAGTAAGAAGTTCGACCATCAAAGTGCTTAAGATCAAACATTTAGTGAAAAAGTCCGTTAGCTGTCTCCAACACCATTTGCTGCTCTGGAGAAACACTAACGTAGTCATGTTAATCACTGCTACTGTGTTAGTGGGATGTAATTCAGAGGCTACTCCCTAAACATATTAATCGTTGTTGTCCATACTTCATTGACATTTGCCCATTCCTGATAAACCACCAACTTTATTGTTGGGGGCTTTAAACTCATGTCTGATTCAACTTGAAAACTGAGTCTGTTTTTAATAAAAAGGAGGAAGCTGAAGTACTCCTATGTCTCCAATTGAAAGAGTTGATGAAGGATTCCTTCTCTGTGAAAAACTTGTCAAGAGATGATAAACATGATCTAAAATTTGCAGCAACGTATGTTGATATCCATTGTGGTACTCAACTGTTTTTGTATAATATTTAATTTGGTTGATGGACATTCTCTCCTTGCTCATGATTTTAGTGTATGCAAGTGAGATAAATGTCATTACAAGTATCATTACCAACCTAGTTCTGTAATTTATTAATTGGTCAACAGAGAATGAAAGAACTAGTATCCAATGAATCATCAACGGATGGGAAAATGCTCCGTTTGAGTGTGGAAACTGGTGGATGTTCTGGATTCCAATATGTTTTCAATCTGGATGACAGAATAAATTCAGATGACAGGTATCTTCTTTCCCCTGTGAAAATTTGTTGATGTGCTTGTTAGTCTACAGTTACTGAAACATATTTGTTATTGGGAGAATAGCTTTACACATAATGATGTGTTATTTTCTCAGTTGTGTATACATATGCTAATCACTTGTCTTTTGTTACATGTTATGTTGACAGAGTTTTCGAGAGGGAAGGTATTAAATTAGTTGTTGATAATATTTCCTATGATTTTGTAAAAGGGGCAACTGTTGACTATGTTGAGGAGCTAATACGCTCAGCTTTCATAGTAAGTCAAGCATACTTTTGAGCTATGAAAATGTTGTTTATTTAAAATTATCTTCTCATCATTCAGTTGCAACTTATCTGTTTTGTAACTTTGACATGGTTTGTTTATGTATTGTTGTCGTCCTCATCGTCAGAGTAGTAATAATACTTTTATGATAATAATCCTTCATAAAATGTGTTCTTGGATTGGAACTTTTCCCTCGAACAACTTTCATTTTATGGCAATTGAATGAAGTTCATATCCTTTTTTCTGGGTAAAATCCTTTGAGATCTGAGGACCCTTGCAAATCACTGTGTCAAAGCCCCCTCTCTACTACTTGCGGTAAAGGGGACCCGGATGATAGCCTATCAGTGGCCAGTGCTTATCTGTAGGTGTCAAATTATTAATGATTATAGGCGTATTTAGATTTACTGGATTCCTAGAGTTGCAGTTGTCAGAATGTTGGTTGTAGAAATTTTACATGTTCAAAATTCATTTTGATTTATCTTTTTAAAGTTAAGTTATGCCATTGCCATGCCATGCCATGCACTTTTTAGTCCTCTAATTAAGTATCTTGCAATGGCTTTATTATCCATAATCAGATGTGCTCTTGTAATTTAAATACATATTTGGTAAAAGCTACTTCTGGGTGATCTCACTATCATATTTTGTCTTCAGTTTCATTGGGACATGCCTAATATAAGCTTGAAGCTTCCTTATGATGTATAATCCATGATGAATTATAATTAGCTTATGGCCACGTGCAGGTAACGGAAAACCCAAGTGCTGTTGGTGGTTGTAGTTGTAAGAGTTCATTCATGGTGAAACTGTAGTTACTTTGCAAGTTCCTCCTGACTCCTCCCGCTGCTCAGATATTTTAATGATCTCGGTCCTAGTATACTATGTAGTCTGCTGAGGTACATTTTTGTATCTCTATAGGCGGAAAACAAAACAATTCATTCATCTGATGACAGATTTATTGAATGTATGATGCGGATATACTCAAAATAAGATCAGGCCGGCAAATAAGATATAGGCTGCAGCAAGCTGCTAATGGAAATATTGAGTGGAAGATGATGGCGATGCTTTCAGGAGGGTGTCCTTAAAAAGTAAATTGACGATAGCTCTGGACGGCATGCTGCATACTCTTTCGTCTAGTCGATCAGATACAAGAGAATCAAGTCGTCATTACAAATATCATAATTTATGAGAAGGAACTGTTAAAAATCCAGGGAGATTTCATTTTTTGAGACGTACATTAGAAAACTGTATGACTGAATGGTGAAAGAAAGGAAATAAGGGAAGGATATCTCAAAACAGTTTGATTTCGATGTGTTCACCTACCATTTCTTATGGTATTTATTTTGGTGACCCTTGCACGTGTGGAAGAATGAGGAACAGGCTTACCATCTGCTCCCTTGTGTAGCTGTGTTGAGGCCTTTCAAATCAAAAGTGCTTCAGATAATAACCAACACATACGAAGAAGTTAATTAATGTCTTTAAAATTGCCATATTTTTTTTAAATACCCTTAAATAATATTTTCCCTCTTAATTCCTGCCACTATCATAAATTATTTATTAGTCCCTCTCTCTCCACACATTTATTTTTACTTTTTCAGGGATTTTTTTTACAAAATACTTTATAAATAGGATGTGAACGGATAAAAATTTCAGTCACAAATTAAAGCAAATTGAACAAAACTGTCAACAAAACAAAATTGATACGAGGAACAGGTTATTGAAATAACATCAATTGTTGCCAAGAATTTTTCGCTTATAGCCGCAGCATGCACATCACAGCTTCGCCGATATAGCTAACCCTAAGCTGGAATGGAAGTAATGGGATCTAAAATGCTCGGATTGCACTCCCCATGGAGCTCTCAAGGTACAAGCATCTCACCTGTTTTCCATGCGAAGAAAGAGAATAAAAGTTATTTTTAGCCAAGAATAATCATGGAACAGTAACAATACGTTAGTTAGAATTTGTCATTGCATGCCATGATTTCATGCAGCACACTGCACAGAAGTTTCAAAACTAACGATTACAATTGAGAACTCTTCCTTAGGGCTTGACTGGAAGAATAGGTTAGGAGTGGAGTGGGGTAAAGATCTTAAGTTCTTAACCATTGATTGAATGTTTAAAAGCTAATAGTGGAAGAGTGTCCAATCCATCCATCCTAACCCGCCCCGCCCCACCCCACCCCACATCAGGGGTTTTGGGATGGGAACGAATTTTGCACCACTCCACCTCATCATCCCATTTACATCAAAACACCCAGTCCGGCCCTCAAATAGATCTCTGAAATCTTAACAAACCCCACCATGCAGATAACAGTAGTTGCCTGGATATTTGTGCATGGAGGATTCAGCAGAGATTGCCAATGGGTTTAGCATAGCCACAATCCTCACTTACGTGTATATAATTTATTTAGAGCAAAAAATGAACATATTCACTTATTTCCCTTTTGGTAAGTAACAAACAAAAACAAGCTTACATTAATACACAAGCACTGTGGACCCAACTTTGACAATCGCATATTAAGACATGCAATACGAGGTCTTTCAACTTACATTTTGCCAATTCTTCTTCAATAAGGAAACCAGGAAACTGACACTAAGTTGAACGTTCTGAAAGATCTGCTTCTCCTCATTTGTGCAGTTTCCACAGCAACGACCATACAAAGAACTTTCTTAAGTTGAAACTTCATCATTGCTTTTGTTTCATTAACTTTCGACTCCAAGGATTCTTGATGAGTCACCAGTGTTGGAAACTTACCTGCGTTCCTATATTGAAAATATAAATACCATAATATAGATACGAAGTCCTCAAGAATGAACTTCAAAATTTCCACTGTCACAGCCATGGTGATAACCTGACTCTAGTAAACTACTCCCTCTATTCCTATATATAAGTATTTTTAAAAAATTTATTTTGTGTCTAAAATAAAAGAGATGTCAATAATATTTTTGAGTAATTAACAATTTTGTCTTTGTCTTGAAATATGGAGGAGATATTAATTGTATACTTTACCCTCCGCCACAACAATATTAATTATGACATTATTTGGGGTAAAATTAAAAAAAAATTGTGATTTTATGTGATTTCAACTAAATAACAAATTTTTATTGATATACAAGATTCGATTAAAAACACCTTATACATAGACCGAGAGAGTATAGTTTCACACAGCGTGATTGACATTCATGGACTAATGCAAATAAAATTAAGACAATTAGAACATAATAAGCAACATGAATTTTTCAGGCTAACATTGAACTGACTGAAGAAAAGAGGGAGATCAATAAGACTTGAATAATCCCAAATGTTGCATTAAAGCAATTTTTACCATCCTCTTGCAAAGATACTGCTGGTTCTGGATAAAGGGAATGCTCATCAAGGAATTTTCCCAGATGCATCTCATCAGAAGACAATGCCTATTGTTTTCTAACACTACCAAAAACTTCTATATCATGCTGCTAGAAGGCAACAGCTAATTATCAGTTATGTGTAGAAGAAGAATTGAGACAGCAGAACGAACACAAGAAACATTCGAGTCTTGTATGATTATTGAAAGAGATTATATTTAAGACGGCCAATAGCAAATGAGACTACTTGCCAGCCTTATTCAAGCCAGGACCCACAAGACGCGAGGGATTTGCTTGATTACAGCTTCAGATGCTAAAAATGCATGGTACTTCTTAGCAAGCTTCTTGGCGAGTCTCTCGTTTTTATCAAGTTTTTCAGCCCTTCCACATCCTTGCAGTCCAGTCCTATTTTTTCCGCCTGAGGTAAATATCATAAAAGAGACCACATAAATAACAAAACCATGAAATATTTCTAATACTCTCATGTCCCAAATTATAAACAATTTGAAACAATGTCAAGTATATCAATAAATTCAATAAAACACGTTACAAATTTACTTTTTTAAAATAAAAATATAAATTTTTAAAAATGTCCTACATTTAATATAACTTAAATCCACACACATAATTATTACACTACGATATTTCAATTTTCTCTCTTTTAAAGGGTAATATAAAAAAAGTATCATCAGTGAAACTTTATTTTCATTAAATTATCTTATATATTAGGATAACAAAATTTTTCAAAGTTCTCTTATAATTTGGGAAGAAGGTAGTTTATATTAAGCTAGACAATGTAAACTTATGTCATAGTGAGGTAGCAAGAGTCAGATTTACGGATGCCCAATGAAAATGGGGGTAAAATGATGGAATGAGTTACTGACCTCTTCCACATGCTGAGCTTCACCAAGCATGCAAATCTTCATCTTGGGGCGAGGAATATGAGGAAGCTTCACTGAGCCACTGAAACGCTTGTCTTTCTGAGGGTCATACTTCTTCAATCCAATTTGCAGCTCAATAGTCTCAGTGAAATTACGTTTTTTCTCCGTTGACTTGCTAACAATCGGGAATATGGCCCTCTCGTTATATCGCTTTGCAGCTTACTGACAATCAAACGTAACAATAAAACCTGGTAAATTTCAAGTCATAACCACTAACAGACAGAATTCTTCATTTCAAGTTGAATCACAATTCTAATATGTGATCTCCATAAATTAGCTAGCAGAGTCAGAATTGTGTTGATATAAGAAGTCCAGGAAATCAGTGGCTACTGAGTCATCAAATGGATCCAAACTAGCAAAAAGTCGAAGGAGGATAACGTGAAAAGGGAGGGGAAAAAACAATAGGCAGAAATCGATGCACGTTCAACGAAAATCACTTTGCAGTGACAAAACAAAGCTAAAGGGAAATTGGATGGGATTGCCCGAGAATAAGCAAACAAATAAGGTAATTCAAGTTCCAGTTCAGATTAAACACAGGATTGGTATCTTCTAAAGGACAAAGTTCAGCAATTGATTATCTTTATGTTAGTTTCAATGGAAACAATGAGAAACTGTCCGGAGGGAACATCGCGCGATGCCTATAAAAAATTAGGACAATAAGCTCATAGATAGATAAATCAAAGCTGGTTGCCACCTCATGGTCGAGAGTTTCTCCTAGAACAGCTCGTGCAAGGATTATTCTGCAATTTGAACTACAAAGCACAATAAATGTTACTCCATCCATTAAAAAATGTAAAGCATTTTTAATCAAATCTCACTCTTCAATATAATAGTTACTTACTTTTTAACCAATCCTATCTTTTCATATTTAATTCTATTGAATACTTAAAAAAAACACTGATTACATCTCAAAAGATTAAAAATAACTTACATTTTTTAACATCTAACTCTTTAAAATATCATATATTTTTGACAGAAGGGAGTATTATTAAACAAAAGCAGAGTCAATCTATTCGGGCCACCCGTACTAATGCATTAACAGGCAAAGATATCTTTCTCTTTTCTTTTTGTTTTAGACCAAAAAATGTCGAATTGCTGGGAATGTGGATAGTCAGAGTTCCCACCTAAAGTACGGTTTCCTGGCTGGACAAAGAAGACAGCTGCGAGAGATTCGGCGAGAACTATACGTTGTCCCGTTGTTCTACAAATATAAAGCCCCAGGCTAGAGATCTTCCCACTCCCCAAAGTGGGCGACCTTTCTTCGGCAAAATATAATTTAATCTGATAATTTTATTTAATTTTCAATTTGACTCGAATCAAATCCATCAAACCAGAACATAACAAATCACCTGGAAAAAAAAAAAAAATATATATATATATACTCGAATCAAATCGAATGAAACTGGCGCAATAATTTTGGCTCAGTTTTATAGATGAATCAATAATTTTGGCGCAATAACTGTGATTGATTTGAATCCAACTAAACAATTTCTGGCCAAAAAAAAAAATCAACTAAACAATTCCAGCCAATATTTTTTCTGGCAGACGCAATAATTTACATTACCAATAGAATAAGTAAAAAATATTGTTAAAATTGTTTGAATTTCTTAAAATATAAATATAAATTCACTTTACTAACAATTACTATATATTTTTTAAAGCCTCATTATAATATGAACCCAACCAGATCAAGTTAAATCAAATCAGACCAACTCTAATAGACAAAAACCACGGATAGATCGAAACCAATCGAGTTCTTTCACTGTGATTTTTTTTTATTGACCAAATCAAATGAAATCTTTTTTTTTTTTGCCAAAAAAGAGACCATTTTATTAATCACAAAAAAAATTTAGTAAACACACTAAAGTCAAAAAAACACTCAAAAAAAAACTATAAATACAACTTAACACACACAAACTCACCAAAACAACTATTTTTAATAGCATTCCCTTTTCAAGAAATTTCCAAAGGGAATTTTCAAGAATAACTATTTTTATGGGTATGAGAGCATTTAATAGCATTATTATTCACAAATAAATCCCAAACCTCCTTTATAGCACAATCAACAAAGCTATTCACCCCCCTGTGAACAACGAAACACCATCAAACACAAATCAACACCTTAGTTTCCAAATGTACTAACAAGCGAGAGCAATTATACATTTTATCTCATTGGGAAAATATGCTTCAATTAACCACAATTCACACCACTCTTCAATTCTCTGACCCCTTGTCTTTTTATTTTCCATTCCAATAGACCCCAAAACCAAACAGCTCTAGATCAATGATACAAAAGAATCATATGCTCTCTAGTTTCCTCCTCACAGCCACAAATATTACAAGTAGGGCTTACCAAATACTTCCCCTTCCATAAGGCTTCATAGGTGAGCAAAGATCCACTAACCAATCTCTAAATAAAATGCTTAATTTTTGGCATGCAATTCAACTTCCAGATATTTTCCCAAAAACCATCAGCAATTCTACATGAAGAACTTGGATCCTTACAGTTTATAGTCCTATTAGATTTTGTAATTCTACATCCCAACTTTATAGTATAAACACCATTAGAAGCACCATCCCAAAATAATTCATCACGACAATCATACATTGGTAGATGCAGTTTTAGAATCGACTTTCTGTCATCCTTAGTCAAAAAGGCAAAAATACAATTTAAATTTCGAGCATTGTTATGAATCAAATTAGAAACAGATCTATTTAATTCATTTTTATCATCAAAATCAACTTTCAACTTACTATCAAGAGATCCTAAACTCACTTATCTTGTCAAACTTTTATATTTTTTCCATTCCCAACTCTCCACCGCGGCTTTTCCTTCAACAAATCCCTTCCAGCTAACATACTTGACCATCTCCAAGACACATGAGGTCCTTTCTTTGCATTCAAAAAATCAGAGTTAGGAAAATAAACCCTTTTAAAATTTTTACCCAGAGATTCCCATCACATTTTAACAATTGCCAGGCAGATTTAGCTAATAAAGCAATATTAAAATCTTCAAAACATTTAAGTATCCCAAGTTATGAGGTGCATTTTTCTATCTTCTCTCCCTTGATTACAATAAAAATTCCTGCTAATCTTCTCAATCTCATTCAAGATGCCCTTTGAAAGGAGGTTGTTTACATTAATAACTAGGCACAGTAGAAATCAAAGACTAAATCAAACTAGCTTTACCAGCTAGAGAGAGAAATTTACCTTTTTGAGAAGACAACTTATTATGAACTTTATCAAGGATAGGATGATAGGTACTGTTGGCAGCTCTCTTGTGGAGTAAAGTTGCTCTAAGATACTTTTCAAGGTCAATAGTAATACCAATTCTCAAGATCTCACTTAGTTCCTTAGCATGATGAAAGTTAATATTCTTAGTGAAAAAGGCTTTGGACTTGTCAAGGTTAATGCAGTGACCCGTACTTCTGCAGAAGTTAAGGATGGTTGCTCTAATAGTTTCCATTTGAGTCTTTGAGGCTTCAGTAAATAAAACCAAGTCATCCGCGAAACAAAGGTAAGAGATTTTAGGTCCTCTAATTCCTAACTTAAGGGGTAACCATATCTTCTATTTCACCGCATTTTGAATAAAATGCCCTAATCTTTCCATCCAAAGAACAAACAAATAAGACCCTGCCTAAGCCCTGTTGTGGGAGAGAAATGTTGAGTTTTATTGCCATTCCATAACACCTTCATAGAGATAAAGGTGACACAAGCCATAATAATTTTAATAAATTGATGCCGCAACCCAATATCAACCGAAGTTTATTTCACAATGCACCAATCAAGTTGGTTATAGGCTTTCTCCATATCCACTTTGATAGCAACATATCCTTTTCATCTCTGTTTACTTCACATTGAGTGGATAATTTCTTAAGAAATAATAACATTATCATAGTTTTGGTGACCCGTAAGGAAACTACATTTGTTGGATTCAATAAACTAGGTGAGAGTTCCTTTCAAACTGTTAGCAATGATCTTAGAGATTATTTTCAAACTAATATTGCAAAGCAATATTGGCCTAAAATCCTTCAAAGTAATAAGGTACTTAACTTTTAGGATGGGGGCAATGTTAGTATGATTAATCTCTCTAAGTCTCTCAGGATCTAGAAAAACAAAATGGATCATATCACAAATTTCCCACCAATAATACCCATTAAGATTGAAAAAAATGTGCTTGTAGTCCATTTGGCCCAAGTGTTTTGAAAGCACCTACATTGAAAGCAACATTTTTTATCTCAATATCAGAGACTCCTCTTTGGATAAAATTTAAATCACCATCAATAAGCCTTAAGAAAGCATCTGGCCAATCCACGAAACTAGGGATATTCTGATCTTTGAATACAAGTCTCTAAAATAATTAAAAGCCATGTTCTTCAAAGTACCCTAATCTTGAATCCCATCACCAACTTCATTTTGTAAGGCCTCAACCTTGCTCTTCTTTCTTCTAATTTGTGAAAATATCTAGTATTCTTATCTCCCTATTGTAACCATTTGCATATGAAATTTGATACCATATCATCTCCTTTTGCGCACACAACTTTTGATAATCCTTCTAAAGTTTCTTTTCCAATCTATAAAGTCCACCATGATCATGAGAGCTTTTTTTCTGTCAATGCCATCAAGCCTACACAAAGTCTCTTTCTTTTTTTTTTTTTGGTATATGGCTTACAGACCAAGTTGGGAATACGGGCAGGTTCGGCTCTTATGAGCTCGACCCTTATGGGCCTGGCCTTTAAGGGCCTAAGCCTTAAAACTCGATTCCCCATTTTTAACCCTGTTTTTCAAACTTGACCCTTATGTAAAGGGCTCAGAGCCGGGCCTGTAAGCCCTTTTTAAATAAAATAAAATAAAATAAAATATTATAAATTAATTAAAATATTTTAAAATTAAAAAAATAAAATTCTCATAATTTTTTAAAAATTAAACAACACACATTTAGAAATCTAGTGATAAAATTCAAATTTTAGTTAAAAAATAGTTTATTTTTTTATAAATACACAAACATAATAATTATAAAAGAATAAAAAATATCAAAAAATTTATATCATACACTGATATTTATTAAATTATATTAAGTCAATTTTAAAATAAATTAAAATTAAAAATAATATAATGCATGTAGGATCAGGTGAGTAGGTCATTGGTTTAGATATATATTCCACCAAAGAAAAAAATAATAATAATAATATAATAGGGCTTGAAGGCTACCCGAGCCCGAGCCTTTTTTTACAGAGCTTATCAGGGCCAAACCCTCAAGCCCGATTACTTTAAAAAAAATTATTTTTAAAATCCGAATTCTTATTTAAACAGGGCCTCAAAACCCGGCCCTCCAGACCTGGCTCTTCTTCCCAACTCTACCTACAAAATAATGATTCCTAGTCGTAGCAGTCTGGCTAAAATTCTCCACTCCTAACCAATTATTCCCATCCCAACCAGACCTAACAACTTGTTGATAACCCAGCCTCGGCCATCAAGGAGTCATGTACAGGATCAGGGGGTTTAGGATCTAACAACACAAATTGACCAGCATTAAGAGACGAAGATTGATTTTCAGAAGAGATGACGCCTTCACCATTAATCTGCATCGAGGTCTCAGTTGGCTGATTGGGAGTTTCAGCCACTAGCTTATCAGATTGGAATCTATCATCTAATTTACCACTCACAACTTTTTGTGAACGCTAGCCCAATTTCTTAACAGGCCCATCAGATCTCATGACAGGGAAATTGGGGCTAAAGCCTCCCTCATTTCGTGCTACTCCATCTGTTTCAATTTGATTTAATAAAAATACATTAAATATATAAAATTAAATATTTGAATCCAAATAAGATACCATGAAGACGATGGGCTCGGATATCTTTTCGTTTGAAAATTATTAAGTAAAATTACCTAATCAGCCGCTCTCCCCACCGAAAAAAAAAAACAGTAAAATTACGTCTTGGCTCTCACCAAACAATAAATTCAGTAATTAACCATCGGCTAGTGTGCATGAGTTAGTAAAATATTGCAGTTACACCCATTTCTCAATGGCTCATGAATCTCAACCCAACGCTTTGGTATCAGTTGACAGTTATCCAGTTACTCAACCGTTGTCATGTAAAAAAAAAAAAAAAAAGGCTTCCAAATAATTTTAATTGATCTAGTTTGGCATGTAATAAAAAATGAGCTCAACACAACCTTTCTGAAAGTGAGCTGGTTAATTTCATAATTCAAGATTCACGGAGAAGTCCTTTCAGCAAATACAGAAGTCTGTTAATTACTGGTTCAGTGTTCTTAGATCCAGCATCTCCATGACTTACCAGCCAAGACCACACCCAAGCATATAACCCTTATTGAAAAAATGGAAATTGCTATATAACTCTTGATGTTTACACCGAAATTTCGAAGTATTAAACTCACGGAAGACCAACAAGATGGTCGAATAAATCACTCCTCTGATTGCCTTTGCCCCAACACAGGAATGTCTTCATATCGTTTCTGCAGCAGAAAAGAGAATTGAATTATAGTTCGGGGCCAAAATAACAGTTGAGGTTCACGCAAAAGTTATCACTTACTATCAAAACCAGACACCTCAAAACTAATGTTCACTAATATGGAACAGGCTCCGGTGAAAGCACAGCAATAGCATGACCGAATTTCATCATATCAGGCAATTTCATGTGACAGAGGCGAAGGGAACGTGCAAGGATTAAAGCGAAATACCAACATCATTAATTTGCATAAAGATGAATGCGGGCACTTCTAGGAATGCAGACATGTAACCCATTTTTTAGCAAGGAACCAGAAGAACAACCAAAGCACCAGACGCCAGTAATGTATAATTTTCAGGAGACAGAATTCAATCCTTTAGACAAGTTAGAAGGAACGACAAAAGGAAAAAAAAAAAAATTAGGACACGTACAACTACTAATTACCATTGCGACAAACCTTATCCTACTAAATAAAGTCGGTTACATGAATCACATAAGATAATTATACTCTATCAACAACTAACTCTTTAATTATATCATGTACCAGGAGATTTTCTTTGATAACGTCCTTTAAGGTCCTTCTTAGTCTCCATCTACGTCTTTTAAAAAGGCTAAAGGCCATTGCCCAACTCTCTTCATTGGCACTTCTATCGGCCTTCTTTACACGTATCCTAACCTCCTTAAATAATTTTCTACCATTTTCACCTTGAAAAAAAAATCAAGGAAGTGACTTAACTAATTTAATGGTCAATGGGTGGAAAGAATTAATCATTCTTTTGGTTAATTGTTCCTTAGAGTGGAAATGCTTTTGCTAGGCATTCTCAATTCACCTCTAAACATTTTTGCAAATAAAATAGCCGTTTAAATAAAGGCTCTAAAGTAACAAAGTAAACCTCTAATTTCAAAAATTCAGAATGATAATTGATAACTTTTCACAGATATCATGTCCTATCCATATTGCCATGCTCCTTTTCGGTGGAGAGCCATAAATTTCCACTTATCAATGCAAAACTTTTCAAACCTGAACATAGATAAGTGAAAGTGAACTCAATCGAAATTTAATTAATCGAAGAAATAACAATTTGAATTTAATGAATCAAATTTAAAACTTCAAGAAGCTAAAGCATCTAAACACGCATGCACCATAAAATTGATAAATAAACCGTGTCGTGTTTATGTCGAGACTTAAACAAATTTTGTACCCCAACGTTATTGTACTCCCAGAGCTTGTGAACTCCGTAATCCACAGCCTGCAGCCAAGAACAGGAATTTCTTAGTCATTCATCTCGCAAAAACTGGCGTCAAAGATACCAAAGAAAGCTGGTAATAAATCAGCACAAAAGACAATGGAAACTACTAATAACAGGAAATTCATAATTACATGTAAGTAACCTTACGGAACGGGTTTTAAAAATAAACAATTAATTTGTGAACTATTTGTCAAGTAGAAGTTAAACCCTCTTTACGATAGAAATAATACAATTTTTGAAATGGAAATGCTTTCCTCGACCAAGAGACGCTATAAATCACATACGTTTAACCTACAAAGAAATTTCGTGGTCTCGATCGAGGCATCTAATAATCGCAAAGTAAAACTTAACCTTCTAAATTTGTGTAAAACATGGGGTATCGCATTTATATCCTTCCAAATCCAACTTGCCAGCATTGCATTATATTCTAAACTCCATTCAAAGCAATTACATAGTATCTTACTCAGAATTTTCCTCCTACTCTGGCACATAGTCTACGTTGTTACCCGTTCGCATCCAGCAAATCGTGATTAATCTCATTTCTGTGGTCAATGGTCATGGTCTCATGGATGAAAATTAACAAGCAGAGCAGTTGAGGATACTTGTTTTAAAAAAAAAAGGTACAAATGTCGAATGCGAGCTCGTTACAGCGATGAAGGCATGAAGCGCCCATTCCTAACGTGTCGTCCATCCAAACAAAAATTACAGCATGGGCCAATGTGAGATTCAAAAAATAAGAACTCACCCGTTCTCCGAGGAAAGCGCCGGCAATGATAAAGGTCACATAGACAGAGTTCCGGCGCATAATCACCTTGTACAGACTTTCAAGGAGGCCACCTCTGCTTCGTCGAGCACCAGAATCCATGGTGAATGACATTTCTTTTCGTTCGAATCCTTTTGATCGGTGCTCTAGGGTTCCGGATCTCCTCTTCGACGAGGTGGTGAGTGGAAAGAAGCACGGATTAAAGTCCGTCAACTCGTTTTTTCTTTTCTTTCCTTTTTTTTTAAAGCACGGTCAATGCAAATTAATTGGTCTTATTGGATTAGCAGAGAGCCAGAGATGCTTGGTCAAGAAGTAACAGAGAGCCACGTTTAACATTCGTGGGCACATTCAGCGATCAGCAGGGGTATAAGATCCGGAAGATTCATATTTAACATATATAATTAGAACAGTTAAAATTTAATTTTTTTTATTTTTTTAATAAAAATGGTAAAACTTAATAAATTTATTAATTATCAATATATACAGTATATATTTAATTAGATTGATCTAAATTTAATATTATTTTTTACCATTTTTATAAATTAATCATGTATATTTATTCTGAACTATTTTGAATCTAACAATATAATAAATAAAAAATTTTGAATTTAAATAGTTCAAAGTAGATGTATATGGTTAATTATAAAAATTAAAAAAAATATTAAATTTGGGCTGACTTGATTAAATATAAATAGTACTTATTAATAATTAATAGATTTATTCAAAATTTTATTTTGAAAAATAAAAAATAAAAAGAACTTAAATCTGAACTTTTTAAAATAAATTTAAATGATTCAAATTATTTCAAGAGTGATGAGCATCAATTCTGGTGAGCATGGAATGTACTCCCATGCATTCCTATCATTTTATTTTTTTTTATTTTTGTGAAAGGGCATTGGCCCTATCAACTATTTGCTTAGTAATATTATAAACTTTCATATACAATCTTTTCTTTCAATTTTTAAAAATAATATACTGAGCACCTCATGTTAAAAAGATGGGAGAATGATAAAGAAGTTCTAAAATAATCAATTAATTTAAGTTAGGTCTTATGTGTTAACTTTCAAAAAATTACAATTCATGCAACTTTGTTGTGAATCTTAAATTTTTTTTTATGAGTGATACATTTGGTATTAATTTATTGTACTGTCATAATTTTTCCAATTGGTGTTATTGGTTAAAAATATTAATATTAGTAAATTAGTAAGTGACATTTTTTAGACAGGTTAGTAAATGACATTCAATAGTGCAGCTAATGGTAAGCTTAACCCATTTATCTTGTTCATCGTTTATTGATGACAAAAATGTCTAAAATGAATTTGGATTTTTTTTATTTCATTTTCATGAGCTTGTGTGGAGTTAAAAGTTAGCATTGTGTCATGTCCTATATCAAAGGAACTTGAGGATGATTCTAAATATATAAGTGGGTGCTATAAGGTTACCTTACATAAACACAATTAAATTCATAACCATTTTAATCAAGGGTCTAAACCTAATAAGTTTGTCAAATTTGCACAAATGGGATTCCAATTTTTTAATATATAAAATACTCTCATGCACTTTCAAAATATTCAAATCAACATTTAAAATAGGTGCGGAAGCCTAGAAATTGAAGAAAGAATCAAAACATGTGCATAAAAATAAAAATAGTGAACTATGCAGAAAACTACATGTGTGTCACCGCTAACTGCTCCTATGTCACGGCATGCATGTCTTTATGCCATGCGCCACTGCCTAAGATGTCACGCATTACGGTACATTGCATGAGCTTACAGCATAGTGGATGAATTTTCAATGCGTCATATTTCTTTGTCTAACATTCGATTGAGGTGATCTTAGTATCTACGGAGAGCTTCCTTCTAATTATAACAAATAACACAAGTTTCACATTCAAATTTATTTTCTATCAAAAGTTAGACACATAATATTAATTTCACTTCTTTTTCACAAAAAATCACAATTAGGGTGTCCAAACTCTCACACATGCACTAAAAGCCTACACCAACTTTTAAACCATACTCAATGGATTATTTTGGACTCATAGAATAAACCACACCCATTCAAATACACACATACCATAAATTCAACCATCAACCCCTCAATTCACAAAAACATGAGGGGGATGTAATTTCACATAAGTCATCAACATTCATCCCAAAACAACCAAAATACACTTTATTCTCTTGCACTAGTATTTTAGTCTTATACAAACTTTACGATTATATTATACTAACTCAAGGCACAAAATATACATGATTTTCACAATGATAATACAAGTAGTTAAAAATAATAGAATGAATTCTAGTTGACAAATTAACCATCAAGATACAAATAAATAAAACAAAGAGGCCTACAAGTAAGATTTACACCCAAAATCCTAAGCCTCAAAGCATTTTCTTCCAATCTAAATTTGATGAGCTAGGCACTAAAAACATTAAAAAAAATGAGAAATGAGTATAATCACTAAGTAATCAAAGTCAACTTATTCTATACAATTGCATATTAATTAAAAATGAATGCAAATGGCAATAAACTCATATATCACACACATATGGTAAATATAGCCTTAGTCACAATAATAACAACCGTATGACTAGGCGTACAATATGTATCATCATATATATCAATTATGCATATCATATGATTGCAAAAATAACAACTATGCACCCTAAAACATACTGGACCATAATAATAACAATTATGTGGTCAAAACTAAATGCATGATCAATGCTAGCTTTATACCTTCATGTTACCTTCGATATGAAACTGGAGGCTATTAAGTGGCTACGTCCATAACTCAGACTAACCCAACCTTTCACTTGTGAGGAGCTACCAGATCATGGTTAACTCACTCACTTACGTATCATGGTTTCTCCCAATACTAATAACCATGAGATATTGTATTCCTATTCTGGCCTCTTAATGAATCAGTAGAGATTAATTAGGTTTGAGTTACTTAGAGAACAATTGGGATAGCCCTGAAATCAACCATAGGACAAAGGCCACCTCTTGATTCCAACGGTCAATGCCAAGGCAAGCTTCCAACTCTAACTATAAGCCATTAATACCACGTGAATTTATCAATATACTCATCTCCCTAAGCGAACTTCTGCCAATGATCATGCTATGCACATATTACACAGTATGCAATTCAACCAACAATTATATCATATCCCATTCATAATCATATTCTTTCCACTATACAACACATACTAATTATCATTCATCATTTCTACAAAAGCATGTTCTCAAACATCAACATTAATCATAACTGAACAAACATGCATATTATTTATCCATACTCTTATATTAAATCCATGTCACAATACATCACATTGTAACATTTGTATCAATAGATTCATAAGCACTCGGATGATTTTATAAACAATTTAGTTCAATAAATAAATAATTAACATACAATTATACAGATAAGGTTTATCCTGGTTGCCTTAAACCTTTAAGAGGTCAAAGATTTACCCCTCAATTTACTAACTTTCAAAGCTTTTTCTCAAACTTGAATGGTGCCAAACCGATAGTCTACAATAAAATCATAAGGATATTCATTATTGCCCTAATTTTGGGCAAATTTTCAACATTAAAACTCCACATACTGCTTTTTATCAAAATCATAAACTCACTACCCATCATGTCCAATAGGTTTACTAGGTCCTAACAATTCACATTGTCATTAGTGAACCATTAAACTATCATTGAAGGTCATCAAACACTCTCGATAACCTTATTTATTACTATTTTCAGGTGTTAATGGTCCCTAACAGCTAACAATTCATAAAATCATTAACCTAGGGTTTGAACACTCTAAACAACTCCTATTATATCTATTTTAATCAATAAGTTCAGACATATAGCTCATATGGGCCAAAAATCACTCTTACAACTCAAACCCTAACTTTAACCTTCATAAAAATAGAAGGAAAAGGGTGGGAGAAGCATAATGTACTTGCCTTATAAGAAGCTCTAAAATATCTCTAATGACCCTTAAGTACATGCCCTAGCAGAGTAATAAGTGTGCTCTCGTTTGTCCTTTCTTGTCTTTTTTGATTTTTAATCTATTTCACAATTAGTATATCAAAAAAAATTGGCCATATGCCCTGGCACATGTAACACACACGCAGTGTTTGGCATAGAGAAGTCATTTATTCATTTCTTGCCTTTATACGCCACAATAGACATTCCTCACGCCGCAGCATGTGGCATAAAGGACCATTCACTTTGAAGTCACATTGAAGGCTGAAAACATAATCAATTACACAAATTAGATCTCTTTAGCCACACACCACATTAATTTCCTTAATCACACTCATTAAACTTAATTAACCAAGTTTAATTTCTAAGATGTTGTAGGTACACTGCATATCCCAACAAGTTAGCCTTTTAGGGAATGAGTAATAGCCCTATGACAATTGGCTTTGCTTTAAAGGATGGGTTATTAATGGGCTTAAGTTTAAAAAAAATCAATTTAAAAGATCATTTTATGAAAGAAAAATTTTTTTTTTATTGTAGGGCCTAGCCTAACTTTGGCCCCCTTGGAACCTGGTTATTATTGTTGTTGCTGAAGATGAGATTTTATGCCAAGGTAATTTCTAATGACTTTTCCTAAATTGATCTCGTCTTCTGTCATCCCAATACTAGCGACTAGTTCTATTCTTCTCTCTCCATAGCTTGGTTTTGTCATTCACCACCGTTATGGTTCAATTGCTATGTTTCATTGCTACCTTGGCTTTCATCTTCATTGATTAAATCTCAAGGTTCCTTTTCAAGCTATCCACCTCCGTCTGACTTGCCTCAAGGTCCAAGTTGTTTGTCTCTATTTGTTGCATCTTAAGGTTCCTTTATACTGAGCTTCTTTAATACCCCATTTAATAGCATGGAAAAGTTTTTTATGGAAATAGAAGTGAAAGTGAGATGGAAATGAGATTTTAAAACATGTTTTATATGCACATAAAATTGAAGCATAATTTTTAATTGAAATATGCATTTAAAATATGAAAATATCAAAATACGTTCCAAATAAAAAAAAAATCTTACACTATGAAAATAGAGAACCATAGTCGATAGACCAAAAAAGCTCTTCATAACCATCTTGAAACACTATTAAGGAACTAAAAGAGCCATTATAAACCCAGAAATTGAAGGGAAAAGAAAATCAATCAGCAAAGTGTAATAATCCTCACCCCATCTCACTGGGAGTCTTTTAGACTGGGCTAACCCACAACACTACAGTGGAAGCTAACTTTTCCCAATATAGTACTTAGGTTATTCCTCATCTCACCCTCATGTGGTCTTTTGAAACCTTCCCAGACTCAAACCTCTAACCTCTACTACCCTAATGAAGTTGAGGCTAAGTTTAATATCATTAAACTTAACACATATAGAAACCATAAATAATACTAACTTATAACATGCAAGCTAGTCAAGTCTATTAGACAACCTCCTTTCATTATCCACCATTTTAATATAGCAAGGTAGGGGTTGATCAAAGGTAGTATAACGTGTAAAATCACTATGAGCTTAAGTGGCCAACAGATGAGCACAAGTATTAGTCTTCCTAAACATCAAATTCAAATGAATGTTCCAATCTTAATAGAAATAAATTCTAGCTTGGTTGATAATTTCTCTAAACGGGTGATAAGTAATATTACTTCTAATAATCAAGCTGATCGCCTCAACATAATTTGTGTAGACCTGTACATTGTGAAATTTCCTTTCCTAACATATATGAAGACCATAAATAATACTAACCACTTCAGTAATAGTAAGGGCAATTGCCTGTATTCGTATTAAAGCTACATACCCAATCAGCATTATGATCTCTTACAACACCTTCATACTTACCAGCCCCATCTTTATGTTGGCACTAGCAGGGAAGATCATAATCTAAGTCATACTTGAGTACACTATCACTAAGAGCTATTTCATCACACCATATTAATTGCACGGTAGGTCTCTAGGATTAGACAGATTCTTTTTACAAAAAGCAGGGACACAAAATAGCATAAATTCATATATAAACTCATGTAACAGCACAAATGAAACAATATGATAGAAAGGAAGGGAAAGTTTGAAAGCTCAAAGGCTCTCTTTAAAGTTGCGACAAATACTGCCTTTTATAGGCAATGTCCTTAAAAAAATTATACAATATAACTACCTTAATCACATTTAAAATTTCGTTACAAAAATAATGAGGCTAAATAAATATATTTTAGTAAGTGGTTATAGTAATTAAAATTATTTATTTATAAATAACTTCTTTTGAAATACTCAAGATATTTTATAATATTCAATAATTCCTCGCATATTTTAAAAGGAATAATTTTTTTTTTGGAAAACTATTTTATGCAAATAATTTTGTAACTCCGCAAAATAGTTTCCAAAACTTAAAAAAAAAATGCCCAGTACCACATATAACTTGCTGCGTGAGCCTACTTCTCCTCTACACCCATTTACTAGTCCAAATTCACACTTTAGTATACATGCACTAAGGCCATCATTCAGTTGAATAACATGGGACTTTTCTTTTTAGCATTAATACAACAATTCCCTGTATGTCAAAAGAAATACAATCATTCGAGTTATTTACATGAAAGACAACCATTTTGAATTTGGTACCTTTCGACTTGAACCAAATCTAGACCAGTAAAATTTAGCACGCAAAAAAATTGATGTAACTTTATTATTAAACCAACAGATCTTAGGCGTGTATTAGAGGTTTTATTAGTTAGATTATATCCCCACAATTTTCATTGTTAATGATGATTTTATGTGTTATCAACTGTGCGCACACCTGGTTTTAATAAATGCTTTAAAGATTTTGCCACAATCTCATAGGAGCGGCCTTACTCCACATTTGCATAAGTGATTTCATCAAGTGTATCTATAATAAGTACACCATCTATAAGAACTATAGAAATTATTCAAAGCTTTTACTCAACCTCCGATCAATGTATTCTAGCACTTTCTAAAGTCATAGAAAGGGATAGAGAATTTAATGCTAGCGAAACTAACAACTGACTTGTTCTTACCTATTAAACCTTTTTCATGGGATCTCTAATTACAAAAGTTGAGTTGCCATCACTGTTAATTTTAAATTGACTTAAGTCTCATTCTCCTTGACATTCAAATAATTAAAATCTTCCTTAAAGGCTTAGTTAATAGATCCATCAGATTTATATATGATCTCACACAACCATTTGAGATAACTCCCTCTTTTAACATACTTAACAATATCTCAAATGATGTTTACTTATGTCACTGTTTTCTTTATAATGACTATTGTCATTTGGCAATCGCAAATCATCGACATGACTTGTGTAGGTTTACTCGCCATAGAATATTCATTAGGAAGTTTTTCAACTACTTAGCTTCATTATTAGCCAACTTTAAAGTAATAAACTTTGGCTTACATAATATTTTATTTGACTAACAATGAATCTTTCCTCATATGAATATAAAATTAAATCAACATTAATGTATTATTTTAATACAATAGAAATCTTTTATACGTGATACCAAGATTGGTATCCCTTAGACAATCATTTGTCTCGTTCTCTTATGAGACTATACTTGATGTGCTCAATCTCCACATAATACATGTTAAGGGATTAATGTTAATCAATGCAACAAGCTCTCAAAAATATGTTCATACATGCATACATAGATTGAGCATAGAATCATCCCATTTACATTTGTTTAATAACATATTTATATCATGGAAATGCTCAGCCACGCCAAGTGTTGGATTTACACTAAAAAAAACCGCTAAGGAACAGCTTAAACATTCATGATGCTTATAAGGTCACTTGAACAGCTTAAGTATTGTTTCCCCCGCATATAAAGTCACTTCACCACCACCCTTCTTTAGCAACCACAGCTCCACAAGGATGCTAATAATGATGCATGAACTTGTAAATGTATTCCGGATAATTTTCATAAATTTAATATTATATACCAGTGCATGCAAAAGCAATTAGCAGTTTGAGGAAAAGATGAGATCAAATCAGTGAAATTAAAAATGAGACCACCCTATCTATAACTATACTTATAAAATCTGTTTGTTTTAGTTTATTTCATAAAAAATACTTATTTTTTTAAAAATATCTTTTGTAAGTTTTTATTATATTTGTTGAAATTTTAGAATATAAAAAAAGTAAATTTTTAATTATTTTAAAAAATTACTTTAAGTAGCTACTAAAAATAATCTAAAACAAGTGTTTTAAAGAGGCAAAATGCATAAGGATGTCATAAAATTTTTAAATAATATAATAATAAATTATTTTTATAAAACAAAAATCAACGAAGATATTATAAAATTTAAAAATAATTAATTAATAATTATATTTTTTATTATTGTAACCAAATATAATATCTATTTTTCATAAAATTCCTACAAAATAAGTATGTTTTTTTATAAAATTTTTCAATTACCTAAAAATTATTTATTTTTTAATACTAAACAAATAGGTTCATAATTTAATAAATTTTATTTACATTAGAAAAATGCAACGGTCATTGAGTGACAAGGTGGACAAGACAGGTTTGGTTTTCATTGTGCTCTGATGATCATATATACCATCTAAATTTTTAAAGGGGAATTACGTTGAAATTCATTAAAAAAAATTAATTATTATAAAATTTATTAATAATTAAGTTAAGTTATATCGATAACACAATCAATTATTAATATAAATTAATTTAATTGTTAATAAATTTTACAGTAATTAATTTTTTTATGTAAGATTTAGTTGTAATTCTCTCAATTTTTAATTTAAATGATTCAAAGTTTAAAAAAATTAAAAATTTATTTTTATTTTGTATTTATTGTAAAAATTTATTAAATTTACTTTACAATTAATTTAAACAATATAAATTTAATTTTAATAATTTAATTTAATATTAAATTTTTATAAATTAATTATTTAAATATGTTCTAGACAGATATAATTCAAAGTACATATGTATAATTAGTTTATAATTTTTTTTTTAAATTAATATTAAATTATGCGGGTAAATGTCGAATTAAAATTTTGGACGGTTCAGATTGCCAGAACTGAACGCGGACAGGACAAGAGGGCAGCCGATTTACGGGTTTCGCACGCGGGCGTTCCCATCAACGATGTTCCGGCCTCCTAGTTCCTACGTTCTGGGGCGCTTTGTGCGCGTAGAAATCCTCTTATACAGTAAAGAGTAAACAAATAGCCGGTTCCTCAAATTAGTAGCAGTATACTCTAAAATATTGGTTAATCCCCCAAAAAGCAGAGAAAAAGAACAGCGAAAGAGAGGAGTGATTACTAAAAGGCCAGTTCGAGCCACTGTCTGTGATCTTACTTTCGTTTCGATGGAGAACTTCAGTGGGGGTTTTGAACTGAAGGAGATTCAGACACTAGAAGGTCACTCCGATAGGGTTTGGAGCTTGGCATGGAACCCTGCCACTGGGCATTCTGGAACTCCCTACGTCTTCGCCTCCTGTAGTGGCGACAAAACCGTTCGAATCTGGGAGCAGAATCTGTCCACTGGTCTTTGGGGCTGCAAGGTTTTTATTTTCCCCCTCTCTCTGAATTCTTCCGGTCCTATGTGAGTTGGGGAATCCACTTTAACGCTTAATTGCAAAATCTCGGGGGTGATCGAGAGAAAATGCAATCATTCACTTGGGAACATAAAAGTCTATCGAGTTGTTGGTATGATTTAGTCTACAATGAGTGTCAACGGGGGAAAAAAAGAGATGAGCTTTGCTGGGTAGAGCTAGACAGTGCCGGTAGCATGATGAACTTGAACGAGTTAATATCTACTGTCCAGTGATTTTCTGTTTTCGTAATGATTCCTCGGCGATCAAGTGTTTATTGCCTTAGAGATTGACTTAGGCTATAGTATCTGCTTTAATTCGCTATTCCAATCATGATCATTACTAAAAACTAGGAATTTCGACGGTCTTATTGTTCAACTATCCGGTGAAGGCTTTTGGTCTAATCTCACTCACCCGGGCGAGGGAAAACAAGGAGGGTCAAATAACGTGGTCAAGACATGGTCTTTCCACGCGAATTACTGGGCAAATATTTTTTTTGAAACTGAAATATCGTTAGTAGGAAGGCTGGAGTATATTTTATGTTGAAGCTCAATTTTCTTTTATTTTTTGGTGGAACTTTCAAAATTTCAAGAGTCTGATTAAAATGCAGGCAGTTTTGGAAGAAACACACACTAGAACAGTTCGATCGTGCGCTTGGTCACCATCTGGAAAACTCTTGGCTACTGCCAGTTTTGATGCTACTACTGCTGTCTGGGAAAATGTTGGGGGTGATTTTGAGTGTGTCTCTACTCTAGAGGTATGGTTCTACTGTGAAGAATTCATTCTCTACGGACGTCATCATTATGTTTTCCTTCGAGTGTATTTATTTATTCATAATTGCTCTTCTCTTCAACGCTAAAAAATGCACTCTGCTTGCATTTTATCTCATATACAGGGTCATGAAAATGAAGTGAAGAGTGTATCTTGGAATGCATCTGGATCTCTGCTTGCAACATGTGGCAGAGATAAATCTGTTTGGATATGGGAAGTGCAGCCAGGTAATGAGTTTGAGTGTGTGTCAGTGCTGCAAGGACATACTCAAGACGTGAAGATGGTGCAGTGGCATCCAACAATGGACATATTGTTTTCATGTAGCTATGATAATAATATTAAGGTAATGTTGTATGGTAAAATTGCTTAGCTAATATACTTTTACCATTCTTTTCATGTATAGTGTGATTACTTTATGAGTTAATCAATGTTTCTTCCAGGTTTGGGCAGATGAAGGTGACAGTGATGATTGGCAGTGTGTCCAGACTCTAGGAGAAGCTAATAAGTAATATATCCTTACCTCTCTTCTTGTTGGATTCACTTTTAGCCTTTTATAGCTTTTTTTTTCTTTCATCTCTTTTAAACCTGTTCTATTTTTCTGGTCTTTGTTGCTTGCATATATCTTTTATGCTAGTCATTGGTTGACTACTTTCTTAAACTAAGCTTGTTCTTGTATAATTGTGTTATTTGCCAGTGGTCATACTTCTACCGTGTGGGCTCTCTCCTTCAATACTAGTGGAGACAAAATGGTTACCTGTAGGTATGTGTAATTTGCCTGTTGTTCATTTCCAGGAATCATTTTGGCCTTTTGCTGGACTTTTATAGCTTTCTGACCCTTGCTGCTTGTGGCAGTGATGATCTTACCCTGAAGTTATGGGAAACAGACAGCATAAGAATGCAATCTGGAAATGGATTTGCTCCTTGGTAAGAACATGCATTCTTTTCACCAATTTATCTCCGCTGGGTAAGAATACCAGAATATGCATCTGATATTTCACATATTTTAGATGTTGTAATGTGATTAAGGCTTATGCAAGAATGGAGAATCTATCCTTAAATATTGGCTTGTAAGGGAAAACAATCATGCCATTTAAGTACCACAAAAATTACTTGTGGCTACCCAATGTTGGACTCCATCATAACATTGTTCCTTAGGGTATGTTTGGTTCAAGGGAAGAGAAAGGGAGGGAAGGGGAGGTGAGGGGAGAGGAGGGAAGGGAGGGGGAGGGGGAGGAGGGGAGCTCCCCCCCAATTTGGAGGGGAGGCTTTGGAGGGGAGGGGAGGGAAAATTTTAAAAATTTCCCCTTCCCTCCTCCTAACCGAAGGAGAGAGGGGAGCCCTCCCCTCCAACCAAACACACCCTTAGAGTTGACGTTGTCAACATCTGCATTTTATGGGACTCACTTGTCCCTCTTGATTGCACCCTTCACATTTAGCCCTTTTTGCAGAGGTTGCTCTAACTATAATACCAATTAATGGAGACCTAAGCAAGTAAAGAAAAGTCACCCTTAAAATTTGGCTTGTAAGAGGGAAAATTATGCTATTTAAGTATCAAAATAATTGCTTGTAGCTATCCACATTTATTCCATCATAATGTTTGGGTTGCTTAGTGGGAAGTTGTGTGACATACATCGTACACGTGTGAGTGTATTTTTTTGGAAATTGGCATTTTCTGAGATTTGAAAACTGACAATAAGAGCAGCATGTCAGTGTAACAGGTGGAAGATAACGACTCTTTTTTTGGGAATTTCAGGAGACATCTTTGCACTCTTACAGGGTATCATGATCGGACAATTTTCTCAGTTCATTGGTCAAGGTAGCTGCATCTTATTAAACTAGGATGAAACCTATCTTCCTTGTTTGGCATATCTAAATTCTTTTATTTACACATAACTGTTCAACACGGATAATTTTATTTGGTATAGTTTGCATTTTGGAAAGGCAGTCATCCTCGTTAGTAAGGGCTTAAATTTAAGTTAGATGCATGGCAGGGTCTAGATGACCGCTTTTATTGTAGGTAGTTCTGTCAGTACCCACATTGGCACATTTGGATTGCTTGCTGACAATTTTGATGTGGGTAAAATAAAAGGACGATTTTGTGACTTCCTGCTAATTCATTATAAAATCATGCATTCTTTTCTTAATTTTGTTAATAATTGAAAGCAAGATGAAAAGAGACTTGAGCACTTCATATCTTATATCAAGATAGCAGATAAATGATAACTCTGATCCTGCTGTGTCCTGCATTGCGTGCATGACAGAGAAGGCATCATTGCCAGTGGAGCAGCCGATGATTGTATACGACTCTTTGTGGAGAATAATGAAAACCTGGTATGGAAATATTTCATTCTTTTCTTTTGGGATGGGCAAGAATGCAGTTTTTTTGGTTGTTGCAGTTATCCTGAAACATTTAACAGTTCAAATTCTGAAGTCGTTGTTTATGTGATTTGTAATCAAGATTTTATTGGCTTGCCTTACCTTAATCATTTTCTTTTAATCTCTTTACACGTGCTTATGATAGTAGCAATAAAAAACATATATGAAACTATCCTAGTCTAAGGGCAGAGAAGACTAGTTAGCCAAATAGATTTGTTGTATTTGCGACTTTAATTATCCGAGTTGAGTTTCTATGTTAGACTATGTTGTGTGTGTGTGTGTGTGTTTTTTTTTTAGTATTTGCAAGTGATGCTTTGCTACCAAAATATTGTTTAAACTTACAAGAACAAGAGATTTCTATATGTTTTTCTTGTCGTCCTGATATATAGTGAACTTCCATTCATTTTTCTCCTTGCTTTTCTGGACTTGCACGTGACACTTGTTTAGTTGTTTGTTAAAAGTTTTAATCTTAGGATGGTTTGAGTTTCAATTTGGGAAGCTGTTATGCAGTGATATTGTCATATAATGTACATTGATTTCTAAGTTCCTGAAAATTTTCAGCTTATACATTGTTGTGCCATTGTGTGGGTAAACAAGGAGTAAAAGCAACAGATTCTTCTTTTCTTTCAATTCATTAAGTTTGTATGCCGGGGCACTCTTGACGCATTAAGTTCATCAGGGTAGCCTGTAAATTTTACTTTGCAACTTGCTTGTAAAAGGTTGATGGCGGTCCTCTTTGTAAATTGCTGCTGAAGAAGGAGAAAGCCCATGGCATGGATGTAAATTCAGTGCGTTGGAGCCCAGGGGTATGATTCTCAGACCCTACTTAGATTGAATAACATTGAAGATGGAGTTAACTCTTTCCGTGTACATCAAGTGGTGGGAGTCCAGTGATAATATTGGACTATGATCATAGGTGATAGAGTCTTGATCCGTAAAATGATCACTCTAATTTTTAGGCACTAGAAGAAGAAATGTGGTTAAGAAAAATTGAGGGCCTTCTTTTACTAGTTTTGAGCCGATATTCATTATTAGAGAAGTTGCACCTTGAAGAATGGAATTATTGACATGGTTGTCTAAGTTAGATGTATACGATTTATAGTTACAGTCATGCCAGACCTGTAAGAGTTAAGTGGTTTCTCCAGTTACAGGCCGATTCTGTGTGTTCCAAAGACATTGGTAACATACCTTGTTGGGAACTTCATTGGCCATTGAGTTAAACTATCAAAAGGTTAATGCACATCTTGTGGTCCATGTAGCTTCCAAAATTCATGATCAGTGCCTCGGGCACCGGGAAATCGGCGGGATTACAGATGACTCATTAGAACTTACAAATAATGATGAGTTGCTTCCGCTGTGTCTATCATCAGTCTTTGCATCCTTTTACAATCTCTGCCCTAATGAAAGTTTCGTGTGTTCGAGTGCTTATCAGGAGAAGCGGCTGCTAGCCTCTGCTAGTGATGATGGGACTATCAAGGTGTGGGAGCTGCTATCACGGTGACTTCGCTGATTCAAGTTTTACACATATTCTGCATCAGTATAAGAAAAATATTTATACTGCTGAAGCCTGGTAGGAGAAACGAGCAGGCGTCGTCTTCATAGTTTTATTATTGCCTATTTAAATATTTAAGATTAATATTCATTCAGGTTTGACTGTAAATTAATTACTATTATTACTATTTAAACTATATGGTTTTGATTTAAGCAGATTAATAGAGTTGGTTTTACTTTTTTTTTTTTTTTTTTTCCATTTCCGGCAAGGTTTGATTTTATTCTTCTGCGGCAAAATTACTTCCCAACTCTGATAAAAATGATAACTTCAACAAGCCCTGTGCCTAGATATCGGATTACAAGGCTAATCAATGAGTGGCAGGTTGCTGTCAAAATAAAGAATTCCATGCGAAGAGTGGGAAAGCCACCTCATTATTTATTATTATTATTTTAATAGTTAAAATAAGAAGCTTCATCTTCCTAGTAATGGAGAAGGCTTGTTGGCTCTTTGGGAGAAGGAACGGCATTAGAGGTATCGGACTTTTTTTTTTTTTTTTTTTAAACTCAACTCATCGTTCCACGCGACCTCTTCTGGTAATACCAGTGTTTCAGTCCAGGTTTTAAAGCTTTTCATTCTTAGAAATCCTGTAACTGTATAGAAATAAAAAAATCCAATTCAGCCAATTTTTTCTACCAATGTTGCTGAAAATGAGGGAGCTGATCAATAATTGATTAATTCAAATCCAGTATCATAAATTCCTGAAGCATTGAGTGATTTACAACAATGGGAACTTGTTCAGTAGTCTGAAATTCCAAACTTAGGCTAAATCGCAAAGCTTCGTTCTGGTGAATAATCTAAAAAACAGGAAGTTTTGAGAATGAGACTCTAAATGGAGTACATAAAATAAGACAGGGTTACGAGAGAAGTGAGGATTGATGAACCATCATTATCTATACACGCTAAGCTCATTGCTAAAATTGAATCGCAGAGAAATGAAAGTTCAACACCTGTTCTCTATTCTAAATCCGCCGGCATTGGCTCTCGTAGCCTCTCGAACCATCGCCGCTCGCGCCGTGATGATTCTGCTCGGAGCCAAAGGAGCGTCCAAAGCCGAGCAATCAATCCATCCTTCAACAGCTCCTCCTGACCCCATATCTCAGGAATCCATACCCTTCCCGCCACTTCCACTCTATGCCTCTTCAGCTTCTCTCGTCCACTTTCCTCAGCCTCACCACTGCCTCTCGTCGCATCGGCAGAATCAGAAACCAGGTTCTGCAATGCCATTTTCTCCTTATCGCAGGCACATGTTTCCGAAGCCGACAGATTCTGAGATTGAGACTCTGTTTCATCTTTACAATCACTGTCACTGTCTTGAGGTTGGCATTGAGATGGCATCCCGTGAACAAGTTTTGAAGAAGGAGGCGATTGTTGGTGGTGAGCCATGAAATGGATTTTCTCTTTCATTGTGTGTGCAATTGAGGGTGGTTTGTGAGCAGAGGAGATATAGAAAGAGTGGAGCGAGAGAGGTGAGAATGTATATGTGGGGAATAAAGCGAAGGGGAATGGGTGGGAAATTAGTTAACACGTCACCCACAATGAAGTTTTGCTTCGTATGGCAAATGACAAAGGTACGTGTCTCTTCTGGGTTGGGATTATTCTGAAATGTGTGGCTTATTAGTTATCAGTAGCAACTCGCAAGTGCTCCATCATCGAAAGGGAAAAGAATTGAAAAGGAAACAAAAAAAAAAAAAGAAATTTAAAAAAATTGTGAGGATTTCCTTGGATGGACTTTTGTAGCATTGTGATTTGTGAGGTTGATGTTGATCAACCTGAGTATTTATGATTCGTGGATTTCAGCCAATGGGGTTGGCGTATTTGATTTTTTTTTTCCCCCTAAGACATTTTGTCGATTAACGTTTAAACAAAATATTAAAATCATTCAATTACCTAACCAGCCAACTTGCTATTTTATCCTTCCAAAATACAACGTTATTATTTATTCTTATTCTTATTAACTTTCACTGTAAAGTAAAAGAGATAATTATTAAAAAATAGATTAAATTATATAATACTTTATTAAAAAAAAAGACATAAGTTATAGTAATTCTTTATGTGTTAAGATCTTAAATGACAAATAGTTGCACATTAATGAATTGTGGTTAAAAGCTTGAATGACGCTTAGAAGGCAATTTTAAATAAGAAAAATGATAATAACTTTTTTTTGAATTGTGTAGATAACATTTTGTTCCTTCAAATTGCCATAATTTTTTTAAAGTCTTTAGAAACTTTTCTATCATTAAAAAATTAATATAAATGATTAAATTGTCAAATATTAATTGACATTCATAAGTTTTGTATCAAGATTTACAATTTTTTTTAAATTACAAAATTTAATAGTAATTCGTAAATTTACATTTAAAATATTGATATTTCTCAAGTGTTTTAAATATTAATTGCTATTGATAAATTTTTTTATAATATTTACAATTTTTTAAAATTATAAGAATTCAACAATAATTTTAAAGTTTTAATTAAGGGTAATTTAATAACTTATATTAATATGTTAATGACAGAAAAATTTTATTATAAATATGTTAATGACAGAAAAATTTTAAAAAATTATAATATTTTAAGATATTAAAATATTATTTACATAATTTAAACAGATTCTATTATTATTTTTCTTTTAAATAAAGACAAGAGAGGGAACAAAATGAAATGAAAGGAGGAATACGTGAAATTCAGTAATTATGGATACGACGAGGCAAGAGAAGGTTGGAGAAGGAGAGAAACAGAGGGTCAGTTGTCAGCAATAAATAAAGGCAGGTGAGTGTGGACCAATGAGTCCACATGGGCGTGTTTGCAGGAGGAGGCCACCTCCAAGAAGCAATTGCCTTTTCCAAACTTTGAATTGTACGGCCATTGTGATTCTCGACCCCTCAATATTTTTTCCCTTGTGGCCGGGTCCCTTCTTTTTTTTTTTTTGTTTCTTTGGTTTTTTGCCCCCATTTTTCTTATTGATTCCTGAGAACTCCATTTAAATCTTGATTTTGTCAGAATTACTAGAATAATTAGATGTATAACATACATACATGCATGCACACCTATGTAAAGTCTAATTTTTAATGCTGATAATTACAGGAGTTCTGAAACACGAGGGTCATCGGTCGAAAATGAGAGAAGCGTGGACATGCATTAACTAGGGGTAGAAAAAATGGAAGTGCTGTAACATGGAAGGGTCAAGGTCAAGGGAAACCTTGATGCGCTCCCACAGCCAAGCTGTCGGTTTCAACTTTGACGGTCTTTGATACAGACCAATTATGTTTCTTCGGCACTTCATAGAATACAAGTAACTTGAACGCGCCGAAGCTCACGGAAGCAGAACTTTGAGTTGTCCCTGGCGTCAATGAAAACTTACATACATATGTATAGATATATGCCATACATAATCAATCGATGAATAAATCACAACAAAGAGTAATTGATGACTTGATAATTCAAAAGCCATCGAACAAGAATCATTTTAAAACATGTTATTACGCCAATTCTTTGTTCATGGTTTTGGCCGAATCATGGACCAGTTCTTTCTTGCTTTGGTCTCCAATGAAACTAAGAAAATATTTAATGTCATGCATAATCAATCCATGATTAAATTACAACAAAGAGTGGTTGATGACTTAATAATTCAAACGCCCGTGAACTACAATATTTTAAAATACGTTAAGTGATGCCCCCAATTCTTTTTCATGGTTTTAGCCGATCATTGATCATTTCTTTGGCTCTTTTTGAAGGTCGAATAGACGAGAACCATCTCCGAATCACGGATTTATGAAACATTCCCTGTACATTTATCCTACTTGTTCGACCATGCCAACCAGACAAGTGCTAAGGCTGCAATATTGCTGCTAAAGCGCACAAAAAACTCCCCCAAGTACAAAGCTAAGCTTACATGAATAAACTGGGTGCGTGTTGCACAACACTGACATAAAAGGCGGCGTCAAAAGGCAAAATGGGGACCTAATTCCTAAAGCCGTTTACTTGTATTCCTTTGATGCAGTTGTTTTAAGCTCTAGGATAGCGTGAACGTCCTTTCTTCCTTAAAAATTCAGGGATCTCAACCAAACCACCATCATTGAAAGAGGAGGGTCGCCTGTTGATACCAGCAGTCGTATCTCCCTGTGTAAGCTGACTTGCCTGTGATTAGAACAAAAACCAGAGTTAGGTTGTGATAACTGAAAAACTGATAAGCATAAATGAAGAGGACGAGTTGAGCCATGCGCCCATACCTGCAAGGGTCTCCCTTCACTTTCCTCTTGACGCTTGAATCCAGTTGCAATTAATGTGATGCTTACCTATATCAAAACAAGTTCACATAATAAACTCCGGTTTCAGAAAGGCAAGTTAAGAAAGCATTGAGCCACAAATAGAAGCAGGAAAACAAACTAATCATTGGGCAAGATTACAGGACTAGAGGAAAAATAACCCCTATAGATGGTAGATCATGTAAGAAGTGGTTTGCGCAGTATTCTCTTCATGTACGCACCATCAAGATTGATGAGTCAAAAGATAAGGAACAACTTCTCCCAAATTATGAACCTTTCTAAGTTCTAGCAGTTACATCCTAGACACTGCCAGTTTTATTTATCCACATTTCTTTTATCTCAGCTTTTTTTTAAAAAAATAAATATTACATCAGCACTAATACCATTTGTTTTTAATGTATGTAACAACATGCAAGTTACAGCAATTTAAGCCTACTGTTAGAGTTCCGAAATAATGGGCGATCTGTGAAAAGATATATTATGAACAAATATTATTTTTAATTTATTTCAGATATTTTGTATTTAATAATATTATTTAAATTTTATTTAGGTATTTAGTTATCTAGATTTTATGTAGATATTTAGATATTTATTTAGATATCTAGACATTTATCCAAATATCTAGTCATTTAGATTTTATTCAGATATTTAATTCTTTAGATTTTATTTAGTATTTCATATAGGTATTCTAGAATATTTTATTCAGTTTTATTTAATTATCTAGTTATCCAGATTTTATTCATTATTTTAGATTGTATTTAGTATTATAAATATGCTTAACAAATCAAAAGCAAGCATATTATGAATAAAACAAACTTTTGGCCTTTTGAAGATTCTCCTAGGCGTGACTATTAGAAGAAGTATAGAACGAGATTCTTGTTCTACATCATTTTGATAGATTTATATTTTCTATTTTCTTCTATTAGTTCTATGTTCTCTTATTAATATTATGAAATTAGATTCTTATTTCATGTGTTAATAATAGAGATTTATCTTCCTTATTTGTCTCTACCCATCTTGAATCCTATCACTTCCACACCCCACTACTAGTTTTGGTTCTTTTCTTTGAAAGCTCCCAGGTTTTGTGGTCCACAAGACCACAACGCTATTATAAAAGTATAAGCTACATCACGTACTTGACCACTTAGCGATGGATCTATTACTGCTCCAAAAATTAAATTGGCAGCAGGGTCCACAAGGTCATATATAACCTCCGCAGCAGCATTTACCTGTAAATAGCAATATAACCAGCTCAAGCATGTGAAAGGGCAATCTTTTCATAGCAAGAAGATGATGAACACAAGGCGGCAGTTCATGAAGTGCAAAGCTATTAAGAACAGCCCAAGACCTCTTTAGTGGAAAGCATGACCGCCAGGCATGCCTCACCCAAGTGTTTGCTAACTTGCTCAATTCTTTATTCAAGTTTGTACAAACTACAAGCTCGCTTAATGATGATGCAAGACAATAGAATCACAATAACGAACAGAGGAAAACTGTCCTCTCACAAAAGTTTCTATCCACCTTGTAGATTTTTCTTGCTCACTTAATATCATATGAAAGGAAAAACGATTATGACTTCCAATTCCAATCACACAAGATACTGAAAGGTTTAAATTTGAAACTTTCATCAGCAACTTACAGTTCCTAGAGCCTCTAAATCTAATAGCCCTTGGATGATCTAAATTCCAAAGAAACAGAGGAAAAGAGAAATTGAGAAGGACAGGGGAAAACAATGGATGCAGAATTGTCACTGATGACACAAACAAATGACAAAGTTAATGCAGCAAGAACCAGAGAGTTTGGTGGCTACCTCAAACAAGGTCAGATCTAAATTCTGAAGAAACATAGGAAAAGAGAAATTGAGAACGAGAGTGAAAAACAATGGATGCAGAATTGTCACTGATGACACAAACACATGGCAAAGTTAATGCTGCAAGAACTAGAGAGTTTGGTGGCTACCTCAAACAAGGTCAGATCATTTCCGCCAGTTATGTTCCATACAATTCCAGTAGCCCTCTCTATACCAATATCTAGTAAAGGTGACTGAATAGCATTTAATGCAGCATCTCTTGCTCTTGTTTTTCCTACAATACATAAAGAACAAGAAGATAATTCAATGACCAGCATAATTCATTGATAACAATGAGCAGGTCAATTATGAGGGGGGAAAAACCGGAGAGAAAGGTGCCTTGACTACATTTTCTACTTCAGAAAGCATGGGAAGAAGGTGATACAGAAGGGTGAAAGATACACTTCCAAGAAACATTTGGCATATTTTGACCAAAATTATTTTTATAACCCTTCAAATTATTTTGTTTGATAGTTAATGTGCTTTTAGGCAAAAGCTGGCTATGCTTTTCCCATATCACTCTGGTTATATAGTCCTTCTATTTTGGGCATGCACTAACATCAGTGAAGAACCTGCATTAACGATTATTGCTTGAACATTGAGGATCAACAGCTCGTTCTGATTCCAATTATTGCATTATATTTGAAGTCCAGTAGAAGGCTAGGAATTCAGGAGTTAAGTGTAGCCCCATTTGTAGTTTCCATACGTACCAGTTGCAGTTCCAATACCCATCAGTGAAGAACCTGCATTGGCCATTATTGCTCGAACATCAGCAAAGTCTACATTTACCAGTCCTGGTATCTGCATTGAATTAACCAGAAAAATAATGAGCATAAATGAGGTGGAGACAGGAACCATTCACTTCAAATCATAAGCAATCTATAATCAGGACTTCCAAACAGTAAAAGTAGTAGGATTATCAATCATCAATAAGCATCGAAAATTGATGAAAGACTAGAAAAGTTTATTCAAATCAGGACAACTTGCTTTCAACATTATTGAACCAACTAAATCTACTTTATGCCCACATGCATACATGAATATATGTTAGTCATTACAGAAACATAATTATTAAGTTGCTGATGTATCTTATTTGCTGTATGCACCAGCAACATTAGCAGAACTTCATGAAGGTCTTAAAATTGATTGGATAGGGACTAATGCCAAAACAAATAACGGCATAACATACTTTATCCCCTTTAATTCACCATTTTTCAAGGAGCAAAACAAATGCAGCAGCAATAGGAAGGTACGTGTTCACATTCCGAGATCATGGGAAAGAGAAGAAGGGTTTCCATACAGTTATGATATCAGAGATGCCACGAACACCTTGTCGAAGAATATCATCAGCTAGATTGAATGCTTCAGTGACAGGGGTAGTTTGAGATACTGCATTCAATAGCTTGTCATTAGGAATGACTATGAGCGTGTCAACATTGTCTCTCAAGGCTGCAATTCCTTCTTGCGCTTGAACTGCCCTCCTTCGTCCTTCAAAAGAGAAAGGAGTTGTGACAATACCCACAGTCAGTATGCCCATTGACTTTGCCAAACCAGCAATAACTGGAGCTCCACCAGTTCCAGTGCCTCCACCCATACCAGCCTGCACGAGTGAACTTAAATTTCCAAGGCTAGAAAAGTATTATAATAACGAGCAGTTAGGTAGGAATTAGGAACTGCCAAAACACTTGTTGCCAGTTGATAACAAAAACAAAAGTGTTTTATTAATCCAAATATCCAGATCTGCCAATTCCTTCTGTAGAATGGGTATTAATATGAAAAGTCAAAATAGTAAATACTTGATACAGACTCTAAGAATTTCCTTGTTGACTATACAAAGAAAGATATACGTGACACAAGTAGATTTGCAATTGCCTAGGCCCAGGGTTTGACAAAACAGATCCTCGATATTGATATTATGGTGCATACGGAGCTAGAATTTAAAGTTACAACTAGACAATAGTAATGAATGTTGTTTCTATTCAAGGTATCATAACATAACTTCTAGTGACAGACTTCAAATCAACATTAGCAGCAGCAGCAACAACAACAACATCTCTGAAAAAGACACAGTGCAGCAGCAATTATTGATACTTTCTGAAGAACAAATTATGAAAAATATTCTACCAGTATTTTTACTATTTATATGCTAGAGGCATGCTATTTGCCATGTGAATTACTAGAAAGACTGAAACTGAAGAAAGATTAAGTATTGATCTTTTTTTTTTTTTGCCAGAAGTATTGATCATTTATTTCTGTATTTAAAATTAGAGCATTATTTTTTTGAAAAAAAAAGATATGCATTTTTTTTAATGATTTCAACATGACATCCCATCCCGACAAAGTGCAGAAAATATTTAAGAGCATGCTCCACAAAAAGCAGGCTGATATATATATATATATATATATTCATTCTCTCAGTTAAAAAATGTAAGGCATTTTTAATCGAGTTACACCCCCAATAAAGTAATTAGTTGTCTCTCAACTAATACCATCTTTTCATGTTTATCTCTATTTAGTAAAATGTTTTTCTTTAAAACAAACAAAAAGTGACTTACTTATTAGGGATAGTTTTGGTCAATGTACATTAGTTACTCCTTGAAATACTAAAAATACCTTATATTTTTAATATCCAAACCTAAAATGCTTTACATTTTTGAATGGAGGGAGCATATCAGTTTTGACACATTTTCAGTTCTCAATTATGGTCTTGTGGGGTTACTCCAGGAGTTTTCTTATTTAGGGGAACTAGAGTCTAGAGTGACAGATGAAGTGGTATTTTTCTCTGTGCAGATTGTTGATGCTTTGTTTCGAAAGTGAAAAACATGGTCTCATCCCTATAAATGCTCTTTCAGAAGGCAAAAAAACAGAAGTACTATTGGTGTAAAGTCTAAAAGACTAATTACTAAAAGGAAAATATTATAATTTAAATCTGTAATTCACTTGGAAGAAGCTATAATTGAAAATAATTAGTTGAACCTACTGTAACGAACACCATATCAGCTTCGTAAAGTGCCTCTTCTATTAATCCCTTGCTTTCTTTGGCAGCGTTCATGCCAATGTCGGGGTTACCACCAGCTCCAAGACCCCGGGTAAGCTCTTCACCAATTTGCAAACGGTTCTCAGGAAAGACGGGTGACATTCTAATAGCTTGAACATCAGTATTAACAATCCAGAATTCTACACCTTTCATTGAACTCTCCAACATGCGATTGACTGCATTAGACCCTCCACCTCCCACACCGATAACTTTGATCTTTGCTTCATTGTAACCAGTAGGACTAGATGTGACATCTAAGCTCTCAGAGACGTTTTCACTTGAATTATCCTTTCTCGGGTTGTAGCCTACAGTGTTCCCTTCCCCTCTAAGCAGTGACACCTCAGGATGTAGATCAAGGAAAGGGTCTTGACTATGATATGGACTGACACTATGGGAATTAGCAGAGCACTTAATATGAATCAAAACTGACTTTCGTTTGTCATACAATTTCATGCAACTTGCTCTCCCCGGGTAATTGTCGTTCAATGTCCTTCCTCCAAGAACAGTTAGCATTCCAGCTGAATTTCGAGTATTAACAGATGCGAAGTTTGTTGACACGCAAATTGCCATATTCGGTTGCCAAACTTCTGATAACAACGTCAGTAGACTAAAAACCTTAGCGGCCCCAGGATTCAAATTTCAATTTGCCCGGAATTCTTTCTTCCAACACCTGCTTACCAAAAAATTGATATGTCAGATAAGAGTCGAGCAATTAACCATCCTGAGAGGAAATGGCACAAGTAAAAAGGATTACAACAAGTAGTTACATAATAAAGCTCGTAATCACAAATTTAAATACCCCAGAGCTCAAAAATGTCTGATCTGGGTCAATCGCAAAGATCCGAAGGGCAAATGCAGATACAATTGTTCAAAGGTCAACTTGAGGAGAAAATAAACTAAACTCCAAGGGAAACAATAAACAAACTAGAAATCATTACAGCTACGAAGAACAGGAAATGCTGCAGAGATGAAGACCTGAAATTGTAGAAGAGCAGTGGAATGGAAATAGCACTTGAGCACTGAACGCAAATGATGGAAAACGAGTCTCTCTCACTATTTCGGAGGAGGCAACTCTGTTCTTCACTGTCCGCTTTGTTGATAATTCAGCCGCAACGCAGAAAAAATTGAGAGACGATGGTGGGTTTGGATAAAATTGGGTATAATTGATTATAGAAAAGATTGATTAATATCATTTGATTAATTTTGATTATAATTAATTATGATATATCACAGTATAATATAATTAATTATAAAAAATTAATTTTTATAATTAACTATATTTAACTAGAATTCAAATGAATAATGCATGTGGGCTCTTAACATCGGGACGGCTCCAAAAGTGAAAACAGGGAAAATGACATACAAGCATCTTGTTAGGGCCTAATGACTAATGAATGATGCTAGTAGAAGTTTTCAGAAAGTTGAATAATAAAACTCTATTTTCATATTCTTATATTATTTAAATTTTAAAATATTAAAGATTAATAAAAAATTATAAACAATATAGTTATCAATAATGGAAGTTAATTGTCTAAAATTCTTTCAGTTTTTTCAATACTACTGCAGGAATTTACAAGACTATCCAATGCAAAAGCCACCGTGCAAAATAAACTGGAATATGAATATGATGTTCTAGAACCTCCGCATAATTCGTGGAAACAAAGCGTGGTGGACACGTGCCAAACGTAGATATTTTTTTTTTGGGGTGTGGGTTGGGGAGGTTCTGCCATTTAACCGACGAAATTGGCCTGACGAATTAGTTAGAGCATAGGGACGGAGTTAAGAAAGAAAGAAAGAAGGAAGGGGGGTTGAATTGGAGGGCTGAGGGAAATTTGTAAAGGATTAATGGCTTCCAAGGCAATGGCGGTCGCAGCAGAAAAAATTGGAACGGCGTTCCGACGTCAAGCCGTGACCCTAACCGATGCTGCTGCCTTGCGAATACGCTACTTGCTACAGCAGCGTCAGAGGCCGTTCCTGAAGCTTGGTGTCAAGGCTCGCGGTTGTAATGGCTTGACATACACCCTGAATTACGCAGGTTTATCTTACGATTTCTGGTTATATCTGTTGTTTTCGAGATCTCGATGTCCTCTTTCAATCAAGTTTTTTTATGCTTTGCGAATTTCATTTTGGTTCATATCTTGTTGATTTTTTTTTTTTAATGGAATAGATAAATGATGGCTATTTAGCAGGAACTCATTCGCCTCAGTTATATTTACGATTAATCAGGAATTTATTCTCTTCTTAAGCTGTCTGAATCAATTAGGAATTGTTCCTTTTGTTCCTACGGTATAAATCATTCGTAAAATCACATCATCGACGGATTAACCTCGGGTCTATCTTATCGATGGTTTTTCTGGTCATACCTTCATTATGTTTGGAAACTAGGTGAATTGATTTAACGGGTTTGGTTTTTAGCTGTCTCTTGCCATAGTTGTTAAGATTTGTTTCCCATGTGGTTTTCCTTTCCGTGTGTTCATAAATTGTTTCCGCCAGTTATATTTTCATCATATACTGAAACTCTGAAAGTCACTGCCCCTTTGAGTAGCCACATGGATTTTACATATCATATTGGCCACGAAACAGTTATACGTTTCTCAGGCCTTTTGAGAGGTCTATTTGTATCTGATGTTTTAACTAGCGGTTCTCTGAGCAGCCTTAGCCATTTTTTCTAGTTATTTTTCCTAACGAAAGACTACCTCTTGAGGCTTACACTTTCTCCTGTTTGGAGGGGCACATATTATTGTGCTGCAGCATCGGGGTCCAGGCTTGTGAAATTTTTTAATTTTTTAATATGATAAGTTGCATTTATTAGGGTGATGTTTCCATAGTTCTTGAGACCGGCTTTACTTGCTCTTTTTATATCTTTGGTTGCACACGCAGTGCATTGACTGATGTAGGTGGTTAACTAGATTTCTAACTCTGACTTCTGAGAGGAGAAATTTGGCTGATTGAAGAAAGTAAATGTTGGAGGGGACGCTTCTTTGAGATGATAAGAGTGATTGCACTTTGATATGTGTCTATGTAGAAATAAATCGAATAAGTAACATATATTGATGGAGTTTCCACTAGACCTGCCAGGATTTTGTTCTTAAATAAGCATAAAGAATTTTGCTTACCTTATAGGTATCTGACATAATGGAAACTTAGCCTCCTGGGTGTTTACTTTTTTGCATGCCAAAAATGCCTTTCAATTGAGGGGAGCTGGAGATGGATGCATTATGACTTTTTAGTGTATCATTCTTGTTGTTTTGACAGATGAAAAGGGGAAATTTGATGAGTTGGTTGAGGATAAGGGTGTGAAGATATTGATTGATCCAAGGGCTCTCATGCATGTTATTGGGACTAAAATGGATTTTGTAGATGACAAGCTAAGGTAACTATTTTCTTTAATCCTGCTTTATGTTGTTGGAATTGTTTCTGTGTTTTGGGGTGGAAGTCTGGAAGTGGAAGGTTCTTGCATTTTAAACTTCGTATGCAATTGCAAATAACAGGAAATTGACTGCTTAAGATTTATTGTGTTCATAACTGCTCCAAGTAGACCAGATTCAGTTATTAATTTTCTTCACCTCCTTGACTTTAATGCCCCTTGGATGTTTGGAGATCGGAGAATATTCATATTTTTCAAATTGTGTCTGATTCTGAGGTGAACATAGAATGCCAAGCAAATTATCATTGCAATTGTGAACAACTTTCGTCCCCCTTTAGGTTTGGAACTTGTATTCATGCTTCTCTTTTTAATTTGCATTGTCCTTTTGTAATGTGAGTGAATTAGTATTGCTGTGCCAATATCCTGGCAAATTTCATTCTGCCATGTGGGCACAGAACATTCGTGCAGTGGGTAATTTGTTATTTTCCACCCAGACCTTGGATTAATATGTAATTTTCAGGATAGGCAGTGATTTTACAATGCTGGATGTGACATGTGGCAGATTTTTGCATCACTAAAGGCCGAATATTGTTATTACCCATTTCATTTGTTATGATTAATTTTGAGGGTACCAGCGGCTTCCCAAACCCAGATTTCATGAGGGAAAAACACTTGGACCCGGAAGAGTTTTATGAAGTGTGACGTGGATGCTTTTGTTGCTTAAATGTTGTGCTTGATTCTGCTACCTGCATCAACTAATTTTCCTTTGCTTGTTACTTTGCTTTTTTCTAGTTGCCCTATTCAATAATCATCTTTTTCCTTCTTCTGGCAGATCTGAGTTCATTTTTATAAATCCAAACTCTAAAGGTCAGTGTGGTTGCGGTGAATCTTTTATGACGACAGCCAGTTCTGGAGCTGCTAAGCCAGGAAATAGTTGAAAGTGCTATGTAACGTCAGGGTTGATCCACGCTTATGAAGCCACTCTTTCATGACAAGTTTGTTGAACATAAAGCTAATTACGTTTTTTTTTTATACGAAGGAAAAAAAGGCTAATTGCTTTCTGTAATTTTGTCAGAGAATAAGGAAATTGAAGGCTTATGCACTTAAGAACAGGACGCAGACATGGCTTCATTGTTTCAGTATACAGATACATAGTCCTCTGAACATTGTGCTGATAAGGCTTAGTGCAGCAGTTTTGTACTATCATGTAATTCGTTTATGTGATTCTGATTGTTAATGTAAAGTTTTTTTTTTTTTTTGGGATTATGAAACATGGTATAATATGTAGCCAAGTTATGAAAATAATTTAAACTATCATCCCGTGTTCATTCATTCTAAATATCAGCAGAATCGGTGACATTCCAGTTTGAAGATTCATTTTCTTTTACGGGAAAAAAATGATGCTTGAATAACATCAGTTTTCAGGCTTTCCATGTCAGGTTCAATGACATCAGTTTTCTTGTCAACATGTGCGGATGATTTTCCACTACTTTACCGATGTTAGGGATGAAAATTTGTGTTATTGTGATGTTATATGAGATTTCAGGCTACGGCTGTAAGTCGCGTTATTTGATTAAGGTCCGTTGTGTAAATAAAATGAAGTTAGACGTATGCATACAGCTGGAGGAGTTTCTTGCTTTTGCGCAGAGATAACACTCGGAGATTGAAAAGCATACCTCTTGTATAGCGTAGCTTGGGGTTGTTTTGTTCAAAGATATATCATGTTTACCTAATTTAACACTGACACGCGTCAACTAGGACATCGATGTGATTGTCATATTTGGTTGCTGATAAATCTTTGGTGACCTGTTATACTTGATGGCCGCAGGCCTGACTGCATTTTTCACTCAAAGTTGGAACTCCAGATTCGGATCTTTGACAAGTTGCCCTATCGAGGTCCCCGTGGGTATAAGTTTTGACAAAATTATCTGAAAAAAAGTCTTAATTTTAAACAATTATTTTTAATATAATTTTTTCAAACAATATTTAAAATTTAATTTTGCCCAAACACCGATGACCATGCTAACAGCGTGAAGCAGACGTGATCGCCTGATGGTGGGGGAGACTCTTCTGGTGGAATTGATCCTCCCAACGTTCCCTCAGCATTGACAAAGTCCCGGCCCTTCAATCTATATCTAATGTCCCGTGCCTTACTATATCATCCCATATTAAAATAATTTAATTTTAAAAATGATTTTTTACACTGTATATTAAAAAGATAAGATTATTTTTGCCTTGATATAGTCAAAATGTTAAAAAAGAAGATAATATTATATTATATTATTTTTTAAAACTCCTAGTATTCAACATCATCAATTCCAAAGGTTTAAAAAAAATATATATCAATTCCATGTTATTTAAGAAGATTTCTTTTACTGTACATTTAGTTTCTTTCCTTGATTATTTTGTAATGCTTTAGGTGAGTGATTTTTCTTACAATATGTTTCCTAACTTTTGTCTTAATATAAAAAAACAAGGTGTGGGATACAATATGGGTAAAAGTTCAAGATCTATAAAAATTAAATTATTAAGTAAAAATTTCAGATATTAAAGTATTTTTATAAAAAGGTAATTTAAAAAAAAAAAATACATCGAGTCACTGGCACTTGTAAAAATGCCGAAATCTATCCGCAGAGGTCGATTGCTGCGGAATGCGGCAGTGCCTGGCTTCATTCGTGGCAACACGTGCCAAAGTTGTGGCACACGAGTTGGAATACCCATTCATTCACCATTTTCCATTGTGCTGCCAAAAATTCCCCCGGAGTGAGGGAGAGGGATAGGCCTTCTTCCCCGATTCACAGCCGCGGTCTTTGTTTCGCTTTCCTTCTTTCTATTGTTCTTCGAATCCAATTCCATATCAACGTCCTGGGCCTTTCAAAGTTCTATCTCTTTCTTCCTCTCGTGCGACTTTTCGGTACTCCGATGATCTGTCCCGATTTCTCCTGCAGAACATGATCGTTACGTTTTCCCGGTGAGCCCCTCTGTGACCTATACTTTAATACACCTCTCTTTCTCTTTGTAATCTTTCCCCTTGATTGTTTTCCGTCACTGTGTTTTTGTCTTATCTGCTGATTCGAGATTTTGTTTAGCGACTTCTTCTTGTAATCCTTTTTTTTTTCCTGTAAGCGTACCTTATTTGTTTATCCTGTTCTAGTCTTCCGCTCCTGTGTTCATTCTAGTTCTTACCTAGTTCATATCGTCGGGGAAGATTGCAAATTCGTACACTTTTTTCGTCTATGCTGATATCCATGTATCTCAATGTCTCTTATAATTTTCTCCAGTGATTTTTTTCATTTAAGCTTTTTTCGGATACATTTTCTTTTAAGGTTTTAGGTGTTTTTTGTTTCGTTGTTTTTTTTTTTTTTTTTAAGTTATCCGTGTTCTTATTGATTCTGAATTATGAAGCATTGACATATTGGACAGGCTAAGATACATCCGTATCTCAATTGCGTTCAATCCTAGAAATAATTGCTGCTTCATTTCTTAGTGATTCTTCCACTTTCGATGGAGCACCTTCCTGTTGAAGTGATTGGTAATATACTATCCCATCTTGGGTCGGCTCGGGATGTTGTGATTGCCTCAGCGACTTGCAAGAAGTGGAGAGAAGCTTGGCGCAATCACCTCCACACTCTTTCATTCAATTCTAGTGACTGGCCCATCTATCATGAATTAACTCCCGGTAGATTGGAAATACTCATTACTCAAACAATCTTCCAAACCAGAACATTGAAATGCCTAACTATTTACATGGATGATGGTTATGAGTTTTCTGCTGCCCCCGTCATTGCTTGGCTTATGTATACTAGGGACTCCTTGCGACAATTACGTTATAATGTAAGGACAACCCCGAATTTCAATATCATTGAAAAATGTGGCAGGCAAAAGCTGGAAACTTTGGCATTAGCTCGTAACTCCATTACAGGTGTTGAGCCCACTTATCAGAAATTTCCGTGCCTGAAATCACTCTCACTGAGTTCTGTTAGCATCTCAGCACTGGATCTGAGCCTTCTACTTAGTGCTTGTCCAAGACTTGAAACCTTGTCTATTATTAGTCCAGATATTGCCATGTCAGATGCTCAGACTTCCATGGAGCTTAGCAGCTCGTCTTTGAAGCATTTTTATGTTGAGTCATTCCGTTTGGACAAATTTATATTGGAGGCAGATTTGCTTGAGAATTTGCATTTGAAGGTTTGTACCTTCGATGTTTTTGAATTGGTCAGCAAAGGAGCCTTGAAAGTACTGAAGATTGATGATGTGAGTGTTATCCATCTCGATATTGGTGAGAGTACAGAGAATCTCGAGATTGTAGATGTCAGTAGCTTCACAATCATGTGGCCAAAATTTTATCATATGATCTCAAAAGCATCAAAGCTACACAGGCTTCGGCTGTGGGGTGTCGTATTTGAAGGTGAGGATGAAGTTGTGGATATAGAGCCGATTTCTGTTTGTTTTCCTCAGCTGACACACTTATCCTTGAGTGACGATTTAAGAGATGGAGTGCTTCATTTGTCTCTTTTAGTGAATGTGGTTGTGCTAGAGCTTGGATGGACAGCGATTAATGACCTCTTCTCAGCTTGGGTAGCTGGGCTTTTGGACAGATGTCCCAGTCTGAAAAAACTGATAATTTATGGGGTTGTTTCAGAGGTCAAAACCCATGAAGAGTGTCAAATTTTTGCCAAATTTACTGAATCAATTCTGCAACTCGGGCGAAAATATATGCATGTAAAGTTTGAGTTTGAATATGAATAGTGAGTACTGCAGTATCATGCATCTCTGTCAAATTTTCGATTTATCATAATTCTGACAGAAGGTATTTCCATATCCCATGAGTTTCCGTGCTTCTTGGTGTTTCATTAAGTGCCAAACTGAAGAGTTCCATGGAATGTGAAGTTGCAGTTTGTGTAAATGACTAAATGAGATAATTCTAAATTTTCGATATATGTTTCGGTCCGTGGCTCTCAAGGCTGGACCATAAGATCACTTTGCTTATTTCCTTCATCTGCTTATGTTTCCGTTTTTTTCTTTTTCTTTCCTGTTGGGAGGCGGTGTTGTAGAATAAAAGGTTCTTCTGTTCTACTGCTTCACCATCCTTCTTATCTCAAATTTGATTAGTGGTAGCATTTTTGTGCTTTGTTTCCTGCATTGTACTTATTTTGGCTGTCTGGATTCCTTCTGGAAAATGCAAAAGAGGATTGCTGGCATGTTAATGCACGATCTTCGCTTGCTTGACACTGAACTTCCGTTTCAATAGTTTTTGAAGGCTCTATTCTGTGTCTTGGATGATTTTTTTTTTCTTTTTTGAGCAAATGTGTCTTGGATGATTGAATTGGCTCTTTTTGTTCTCAATTTTCACCGCGCCCGAGCTCGTTAACATCAGTTTATAGAGGTCAGGATCGAAAGAGCCGCAGTGTATATGCTCTTTACAACATCGGTTTTACACTGAATTCCTTATTCATGTCCCGCGTTCTATTGTCGTTTAAAGTCTCGTGTTCCGAAGACAAGTCTTGTCCTGGAAATTGATATCTGGTGGGATGCCTCTATTTTCTGACCATGATTTTTCTCTCTTTTTCCCGTGTATGATGACAACATATTGCGACACCAATATGCTCGACTAATGATAATGTAATTCGCATTTTAAGACGCAAAATGATGGGGGCGCGAGTGAAGAAGCCTTTTTGTTTCCTTCTGCTCTCTAATTATCTCTCTGTTGCTTACAAAGGAATAAAGCAGAATAGGTGGGGAAAATGTTTCGCAAAGGGAGATAAAAACGTTGACAACTTGGCCCATTTGAATTTTAGTTGGTTGTAATTGATTATAAAAATAATTAATTAATATGATTAATTTTAATTATAATTAATTGTGTTATAATATAATTTATTTGAATAGTGTTTTTATGAAATTAATTTTAACTGTATAAATTATTATAAAAGACATTACTTTTCAAAATTAAATTATTAATAAAGTTATATTTAATATTATTAAATTTGTTAAACTTTATTTTAAGAAATAAAATATATTATTTAACAGTAAAATTGAATCTATAAGTAATTTTTTAGAGTTAATTTCAAAATATAAATCTGACTCAATAATTAATTATGAGATTTTTTAGTTGTTTCGATAGTTGTTGTTAAAATTGATTATTTGGCTGAAAAAATTGATTATCTCTGCAATCCAAACTGGCTGTTAACATTACACTTTTTCCAAGTTGCACTGCCAAATAACAACTTTTAAAAGAATTTTTTAGTTTTTAATATAAGTCACTTATTAATTACATTTTTTTATATTATTCTTACTTAAACTCATCAATCATGGAGGAGAATGTAATATAAATTTGATTTTTTTTTATTTAAGATAAAATTGAAAGTTTATTTTGTTGTCAAATAAAAGTATATGATTTAACCACTGTTTTTTGATTATGACAAGATAGTTAGATGTGAATTATAATTAAAATGGAAATGAGTGCACTGATAACACTATGTGTTTTATTTATTTATTTATTTTGCCTAACCAATAACACTCTCTTCACTCAGTAACACATGAGGAAATATTTGGGAACATGACAATTAGAAACCTCACAAGAACATTAATGATAATTATAAATCTTGAATTATTAAAATTTTAATAATAGATCATGGATATTACTTGCAACAAATTATTGTTTATTGATTGATTTGAGATTCACAATAGACTTTTAAAAATTTTCAATTAATAATACAAAGATTCTCAATTATTTTTTATTAATTTTTTAAGTGAAAGCAAAAATATTATAAATAATTGGTTTGCGATTTATAATTGACTCTCCTCAATTTTCAATTAACATTGCTAACAATCTTAAGTGCATTTTATTAATTTTTTAAGTGATTTATCTATATATTGATAACAAAAAATCGAGATTTATAATTTAATCTCATAAATTTTTGACTGACGTTACAGATAGTTTCAATTATATTTTTTTAATTTTTTAACTAATTATTTATATTTTTTTAGTTGCAAGTAAAGATCATGATTTATTATTAAAATTTTAATAATTTAGTGTTTGTAATTATCATTAATATTCTTATGAAATTCTTAATTATCATTTTTTTAAAATATTTTTCAAACGATACTGTGCTTGCTTCATATTCCAACTAGAGTCAAACCTCGTACATTGCATGGATGTAACAAAAATTCAGTTGTGAGAAATAAACACCAAAAACAATTTGAATTAGAACATGAACAAAAAGTAGTTCGTCATCAAACATATATAAAGTGATGAACCTGATGCACCATGATATTATTTAAAGATTTTGTTAAAAATTTTGTCATTTAAAGATTAAAGCATCATTGACCAAAAAAAAAACTAGACATAATGTTATTAATTAATTTTACCTGTCATTCATTTGTTTACTCAAATTAAACTAAGTACTACAACGTCAGGAAATGTTGTAGAATCTTTTTAATCACTTCTCTACAAGACCAAAGGTGTCATGAATAATAAATTTTAAGAGACATATATGGAGCTTCTTTAATCTTTGCATTAAATTGGTTATAATTTTAGATTTTTTTTTCAAGAGATATTATTCTGATCTTATTTATAAATTATTTTTAACATATTTTACTGATATAAAAAAAAGTCAAAACACATTAACTATGTCTAAACATTCAAGAAGTTTCCAACTTTGCTCTTATTAAATATTCATACTTTAACAATATATTTTCTCTTTTCAACATTTAATGAAGTGTAAATGGAATAATTTATTATGAAAATTTAATGATATAACTTTTAAATAGGACAAAAAAAAACCCTCTCTATATACCCCATAAATAAGACTAGAAGGAGTATATTTTAAAAACACAACAATAAATAATCTTTAAACTATTCATTTGAAGTCACAAATATAATCATTTTAAACAACTGATAATATGAATACATCCAATAAGTCATCTAATGTAAATGCATTTGAAGTCACAAAAAATGATTTATTTCTAATACACACATATATATGTTGTGTTTATTATTTTTCATCTTTAATCTTTACAAAATAAAAGTGATATTTTTATCTTATAAAATGACAAATGATAACAGTAAAACTACTTGGAGAGCTTTGTCTTCAGAGCCTTCAAGTCTTGGATTACTTTTTCAGAATTAATTATCATCTCACTATTCCCAAAATGTCGACCCTCTAGAGCAAAAACCCCAAGAATAACGCCGGTGAGATTCAGCACAAAAGAGATAGATAACTATGGATTTAAATTCATTCTTGTATAAGCAGTGAGAGTAACACTCTTGAGAAATAAAAGTTCATTGCCTATAACTAATGACACATGACCATGTTTACAAGAAACTGAAAACAAAATGTCAGCACGCGCAGATACAATCACATAAACACCATCTATCATAAAATTGAATTTATAAGTTTCCCAAAAAATTTGAAGTGAAGCAAGGATCTTTGGCAACATTTCAGCACATAACTTTCCTACTTTGCCTGATCTGAGAAGCAATATTTTATTAAGTAGGGATTTGCCAGTGAATTACGAATGAAAATTGCCAATAACAAAAATTTTCTACAGGACAATGAAGCCATCACATCATGCACAACCTTTCACATATAAGATAAATTGTACATGCTTGGCATGCCAAACCACCTTGAAATTTCTTGGCTCCTTCTCATCCAAAATGTAGCTTCTGTTCATTTGAAATATGACTCTTTACATTTAGAAAAATAAATTTTCTTAGAGAAGGGAAAGATGGAGTGCACCTAAGTTGTTGGAGGAGAACAATATATCCTCAAAACAAAATGAGAAAATAGTATAAATTAAAACTAAAAGGTGCTTTTTCTCTTTGAAATAAGGTTGCTCAATTGCACTTTTTTGAAATTTTAAAAGGAAAAAAAAAACTAAACGTGCAATAAAGCTACTCCATGTCCATGCATAACTTAAATTGGAAACTTCCTTTAAAACTGAAACATAAACAACGTGTTGGTAATAAGCCATCAATGCGATCATATCCTTTTCATATTTGGGGCAAAAGGCCCACTTGAAGGTGGGTGGATGACCAAGTAAAAAAGTTAAGGGGGGAAAAATCAGTTAACTTATTTTACATTAGTCAAATACAATTGGCCAGCTCCACAGTTCATGTTCTTCATATTCAAGAAATATCACAATATTTCTTGAACAAATGAATTTCATCCCTCTTTTATTCAAAAAAAAAAATAATTTCATCCCTCGAACTTCTAGTTCAAAAGAATTCAAATCATTAAAGTGCATCCATGATAAGGATTAACAAAGAGCGAGTACCAATTTTCCCATGCCCCGACTGAACAAGTAAGCAGGTAAGTTCTTAATTGTTACAGTCATCATGCCCCTTGCTGCAAAAGCTTCATTGCAAGTTCTACAAAGATGACAAAAATATTAGTTTCCCATTCAACTCTAGTATATGGTAGTTCCGATTGTACGACTATTTATATAGCAATAATGTAAGTCAGATATCAAATCCAATTACTTGAATTAAGTCAATCTTAAATTGCCAGTGCTCACTATTATAAGATCTTTTGATTCCCATTGTAGTGCTACCTACGTTTTACGCAAGGCGAGGTGAAAAGCCATGTTTTGCTAGGTTCATCAACCATAATATGGTAAATTATATAATCAAACAAGTAAAACTAATTTAGCAACAAAGCAACATGCATCCAGTTTTCCATGTGTCTATGTTGAAGCACAATAATGAGAAAACTCCTACTTCATTTACTTTTTTATTGCAAATAATATTATTTGTTCTACCCATTTTAAGAACCAATGAGAAATAATCTTTTCATTAGGTATTGCAGGTATGATAAAAGAAAATTACAGCCAAGAGAAAGGAACAGAAGATTTAAACTTGAGATCGAGTAGAAAGCAGAGACAAAGTCAAAGTGAATTACCCAGTCCAATCAAAGTGAGGCGTCTTTGGAGTTCAAGCCTGTCCTTTCTTCAAGCAATATAATTAATCACCTTTCACCCAGCAAGTCTGAATTTTGCTAGAGCAGATTGACGATCCCAAGAGAAGTTAGCTTTGCCTTCAAATGCACAGATTTTTGTCAACTCCATCAAGCTTTGACCCGATCCTCCGTTCTGTCAAGAGATTTTAAAATTGGCTCCAAAATAAGCAATATTTGCTTACAATTGAGAAGTAAAGTTCTAATCCATGATTCAAATCGTTGACCAAAGACCAAGACCCCAAATGTTGTGTAGACAAAAACCTTCCAGAATGTAGATTCATATTTGCCGCACATTCAATCTTGTATACTTTATCTCCACAATGAAAACTGGTCCGTGCGATCACGGGGCTTAAAATCTTTACCTACAACGGTAAATGTTTGAATTAGAATAAAGCAAATATCATGTGTGTTTATTCGCATGTGTTGAAGTTGGTTTATCTAAACCTCTAGTTCCTGCATATAGTATTATCATCAAATTTAAGTTACACAAGTTTAAGATCATCAAAACAAATACGACTGCAGCACAGAATCCAGAGTCTAAACGCACCCACAGATGAGAAAAGTAATTATCAGTATTAAACGATCAAAGCTATCCGATTGCAGCAATTGAGCACTCAAAGGTAGGATCTGTATTACAAATTTAGAACATCAGAGAGTCAGATAGCATATCTCCGATCCCCCCTTCTTTCTTGTGCAGAATTTTGGTTCTCTCAGATTTTCTCATTCAACTGAACACATATTCTTCCCCCCCCTCTCCTCTTTTTGACTTAAATGATGGCTATAATTTTACAATTGAAAGAAAGATTTCGGTTGCATGGCTATCTCACCCAAATATTTAGCTGGTGAAATAATAATGCAAAAATAGAAGAAGCACAATATAAAACAAAGGCAAATCTCACCAAGACAGTTTTTTTATATTGCCATATCTCCTCCCTTAGAACATTAGAGAATCAGATAATATATCTTTTCCTCCCTTCTTTCTTGTGCTGAATTTTGGTTCTCTGAGATCTTTTTGATTCAACTTAACAAACATTCCCCCCCGCCTCTCTCCTCCTCTTTTTGGCTTAAATGACGGCTATAATTTGACATTTGAAAGAAAGAGAGCGTTGTGAAAGATCCAGCATGCATGGCTATTTCATCCAAAAAGTTCACCAGTAAAATAATAATGCAAGTGTAAAAGAAACACAAATCTTACCGAAAGAATTGTTTTTATATTATTATCTCCTGCCTCTTCCTGATTCCTTCAACAATTTACTTGAAGCATTCAGGTGAAATGAAAGACGAGTTTCCATCAGCAATTACATCTTCAACACTCTTACGAAGTTGTCATGATTGCACATTAATGACCATGGTTTATTATTGAAATTTTAATAATTCAAAATCTATAATTGTCATTAATGTTTCTATGACAAACGATGCCGAGCACGGTTCACATTCCAATTTCAATTGTGGAAGTTCAACTTTCGTCATCATTAGTCCTTTAATCATTGATGAACTTAAGCAGTGAATGCATCTCGGAGGTGAAAGAACCACTCCCTGGTCGTATTAATGCTGTATTTGGCCCTCCCACGTCTGTTGCAGCGAGTAAACGGTCTCCTTTGTTTTCATCAGAATTTAGCAGAAATATCAAATAGGAGTGCTGTCTCTTTTGATCACTTTGTGATCCACGGATTGGCACAACTATGTACAACTAGCGGGCAACTTTTGCCGGCCCAGTGGAATATGTAAGACAACCATATAATAATTCAGGTTGGGGCCAAAAGAAACAAACAAGGAAAGAAACGCAAGCAATTTAACCCAAGTTTTCGAACACCATCAGCAACATAAGTAGTTCAGGTAGAGATTAGCATATCTTGTACAGTTAGCTACGCATTGCCTACTGACACAAAGGTAAGTTTAAGAATGCTATTAATAATACAGACAGCTATATCTTGAGCATTTCCATAATTTGTGGCTCGATCTCAAGATTCCCTTCGTATCTCTCTCTCTCTCTCTACCCGGTTCTGGTTTCACTATGAGTTTTCTCTATTTTTTTCTTCTTCCCGTTATATTTGCTTCACGAAGTTTTCTTCGTTTGGTTACACCAAGTTATAACTCTAAATACTAAATATGAAATCTGCCGATCAAGGTCACTGTTTACTATACTCGATGTATGTTGCTCTTCACAAAGGACAGCTCACAGCCCTTATCAAGGACCTCAATTTCTCTCTTGCCTTCTGAGCTTTGGTAGGAACTCTCATGTTCGCTTCCTCAAGACCCTGCAGCAAGAATGTAGGAGTTGAAGCAAAACATATCAAAGAGAGATTTTCTACAATTTCACTACAAATCCCCATGGGACACGAAAAAAATGATTAAGTTGCACATATATTATGTTGATACTTGTTAACATTAATGTGCTCATTGTCTATGCAAGAATTGTAAACATTACTTTGAATCATTATTCATTAATATATGCATGACGATACCTGTTGCTTTCTTCTCCTCTCAAGCTCGGCCTGAAGAGTAAAATTAAAGCATGATTCTGATCAGTGTTTAAAATTGCTAAAATGTAAGTGAGGGAAAGTAAGAATATTCACGTTCTTGATGTATAGCTCATGATGCTAGTACCAGAGCCAGTTTCAGATTGGCGTTCTCCTCTCTTAATTGGTTCAGTTCTGCTTCTAATTCAACTGTATATGCCTGCCAAGCCAGAAGAAGACAATTAAGGTTACTAAAACCCCAAAAAACAAGAAGAAAATCTGCATAGTCTCTAGTGTAGCCACGTCTTGGACTGCATTCACGTGGAACTTCGCAGAAAATGGCATCTATGCTGAGTATAGACTATAGACAGGTAACTAGAAAGCTATTGAAACTTGAAAGAGTCTTCGCATTGCCTTTGCTTTAGCATTATGCGTTATGACAATTAGTACGACCCTAGCCAGAGTTGCTTTAGAAGACCTTTTTAAAGAGTCCTAATTTTTAAACCATGCACTCTCCCTTCTCATTGTTCCGTCCAGTCGTAATTCTATGCAGCACAGACAACGGCTAATAAAACCAGACAAGTTTACAACAACAAAATTTTTGTTCGCTCATAAATGCAGGTTTGATGTGTCAAAATATCAATCACGTCATTTTAAAATCTAAACTGCTAGGGAAGAAACTTAATGCATGTAGTCAATGCGTCTGTTGAAACAAAGCAAAGGCACGTACCTGTTTTCTGGCTCTGGATCTCGCGGCCGACTCTCTGTTCTTGATCATCCTCCTCTGCCTTCTCTCTACCACCTTCTCCACCGGACCATCGACGATCCTCTTCCTTCCTCTCAACAACCCCATCTCTACCCCAAACTGATTCCCGCAGTTCTCATTTGTTCCCAGCCCATCCGACGAAACAGGGCTCAACGGCGCTCCGATTGCCATAGTCGGCGCCGCCGCCCCATACCCACCACCTCCACTCAGCACCCTTCCTCCGTAGCAAACCCCCGACGGCGGCGGTGGAGGAGGATACCCATTATTCCTCTTCCCATTCCCGGCGTACCCAGAAGAAGGCTCTCCCTGGGCCACCGTCTGGTACGGCGGAACCACATTGCCCGCCAATACAGTCCTGCTAACAAAAGAGGGTCCCATCGTAGAGTTGTTATTCGGGTACATCCCATACGGCTGCGTCGAGACTTGACCTTGAACTTGGGCGGGCATTGGAGCAGCACATGATTCCCGAACCACCCCTGCTTTGATTAAGAAATCCTCGAGAGTCATCTCCCCAAAAGTAGGCTGGCGAGGGGCAGATTCGTTATTCAGCGCATTGCCACTATCGCCACCGCTATTACCCTGATGACCCTGCTGTGCTCTGTGTATCTCAGACCAAACTTCATCAACCGTCTTCCTACAGAGCGGCGCCGGCAGCGTCAGAGAGCCTTGACGAGGAAGGCTTAGCTGCTTCCTTATCACTCCTTTTTCAGCGGATGCTTCATTCAGAGGCAAGCTTGTGTTGTTATTGTTGCAGGCGCTAGTGTTGTGGTTGGAGTTAATGGCTTGGCTCTCTTCGGCGTTCCAGATGCTGCTGAGAAACTCGTCCATGTTCATGGACCCGAAATTCTTGCCGCTCTCGCACAGCGTGTGCTGGAACTCGTCAAGCGTGAGCGAGTATATCGACGATTGTCTTCCCAGCGACGAGAATGAGTGGTTGTTCTTGGGACTTGACTCCACCTCGCCTTGCGAGTTCGTCGTCTCAACTTCCCCCATCCCCATTTTCTCCTTTCCTTCTTCTTCTTCTTCTTATGCTGCAAAACTCTGCGACGTTGAAATAGTCAAATTCGGACTAGGTCCTGATGCAGCACTAGGGTATTTGTCGATGGAAATAAGCCTGAAGCCTGACCACAGGTCCACAGCAAAGTATTATCAAATTTTCTAAATTATCTCGGTGACTTGGCATGAATATAGTGTGCATTTTAGATAAATGGACATTAAAAATTTGGGAGAGTGGGTTTAATTAAGTTCCACTTATATGATGGATAAGGAATAAATTCTTTACCAGATTTGTTGACATCACTTTCATTATACAAAATGATTGAGAAATAAAATGATCATAAGCATGCATGTACTGGTGTCTCGTGCGAACGAGTACTGCCACGGCGAATATGGAGTCATTTTACGCTGGTTTACCAGACAGATAAAATTTCAATTAAAGGTGAATTCGGATTCGGATGTGCGTGCATCAATATATGTCCTGCTGGGCCATTGCCCATTTCGCTTTCATCGTGCATAAATATATAGGAGTAACCATCTGTACCTTAGAAATCGTAAAATCAATTTATATATATATATAGTCCGTTACACCTATAATATGAGAAACCCGTGTAATTTGCGACGATAATATTGATATTAATGTGGAATGATATTCATATTATATAGAGTCTAGTATACACAGGGAGAGAGATTGAACAAAAACCTAGTTTTGATTCTCGAAAGAACTAAAAAGGCAAAAACTGCAGCCTGTGTGAAATGATCTAAGCAACGTAATAATGGCCACTTTTATTTTTCAGTGCATAGCTCAGCTGGAGGTTTGCTGCAGCTCTCCTGAGCTCCATGCAAGCCACCATTAAATTACCAGTTAATTAATGAACTTTAACTGGTAATACAGGATACACACCCCGGGGGGGTGGGGCGGCGAAGAAATTTTACGGGGTTAAGGTTCATGATAAAGTTGAGGAAAATAAAAGGCGATCTTATCCTCCAAAAACGGAGGTAGGCCATAGGCATTTCCTAAATAGGAATAAATTGGTTGGGAAGAGTAGAGCATGGCAGAAAAGGAATCTTTCCTTGTTTAGAAAGCACCTCTAGACTAGTGGTTCCCGAGGCTGCTCGCCAGCGCACTAACATTTATATATTCAAATGAACAAAATCGGATCGACTTTACGAGGCATGCATGAAGGACACCAGAACACGATCTCTGAACCTAGCAAAGTGGGATCTCATCCACCTCCACAGCCAGAAAAATAAGTGAAGGTAACAAAACAAGCAGCGAGAAGGACTTCACAGACAGGTTCTTTCAGATAACAGCTACGCAGATAAATTGAGAGATCAAAACTTACTTGGAATGCAATCAATATTTAGTGGCACGATAAGCACATCACCATGAACCCATTACGAACGAGAGGTAGGATTGTGCAGTGGGACGAGAGAGAGGCTGTAGTACTAAAAGACGGTGCCACGCTTACTCAACTGCCTATAGCTATGGCAGGAGACTCCACAGGACAAGGTTAACATCACCCATAGAGTCTAATGAAGAAAATCAAAATATCAAAAAGCCAACGTTGGCGTGGCTGGGAGGAGGACCGCTCGACACGTGGAGAACAGGTGTCGCATGCACAGCGTCGTTTCAAGGCATTCTGTGCGTTTGGGCTCAACACGTATCTTTTTTTTTTTTTTTTTGGGCTGGGGTTGGGGTTTGCTTTGCCTTTTTTACATTCTGATTATTCCTAATGCCTTTTGCGAGCATTTGGGCATCAGATCCCACGACAAACGACGTGAGATCTATGGTGAGCAATGAATGATACCTTGCTACTTGTCAAAGGAGTTGCCCACGTGTCGCTTTCTGGTGGATTGATGCGCAAACACGCTCCGCAAACAAACGCATTCATCCGCCAGAGCAGTGTTTCGACTACTCAAAACCAACGATCATTTGATAAATGTTGAATTGTAGCCCATCAATTACAACTGAATTTGCGGCCCAAAAGAAAAGGGGATTCCAAACCTCTATTCATTTTAAAATAGCAAGAATGCTTATGAGAAAAGAGCAGGATTTATTTTTTGTTTGCTATAAACAGATTTTGTTTAGAGAAAATCACTCTAAGATTCCATAAAAGCATTTAAAATATGCTGAGATTTCATGAGTTTAAAAAATCGCTACTAAATTCCAAGGGATTTGAGGGTGAATAAGTTTAAAAGCGCAATTACTTATTTTTTTTGCATTTGAAATACTTGAAAATCACTCTATTTCTCAGTAACCCACAAAAGTTAAAACCCACAGTGAACAGTTCCATGTTTCTCATTCTAACATCTTCCAAAGTTCATCGTCGACCATCATTCTCACAGTCACATTCCGTCGAAGAAGACTATAACATCTCTTGTTGGAGAGTCCAAGACTTTAGGAGTAAACAAAGAAAGTAGCGAGCTCCCGTTTCACTAACTCAGATATGCCTTAACCACCATTATCGGACTATCTCTACAATAGTCTAGCTTAGCAAACGAATTTCTTAGATCCCAAAGAAAATACACTCTTGACTTGCTTAAGGATACTGGTATAATTGTTTGTAAACAAAAAGAAGAAAGGAGATAATGATCAGCTGTATAATGACCAAAGTTAAATGAATATTTTTTGAAATTACTATTAAAGTTTTCTTTTTTGCTTCAGTTTTCATTTTTGGGGACTTATAAATAATCAAGTATATTTCTTCATTGTTACAAAAGTGTAGCTATGCATGAGATTTTTGTAATCAAGTATAATCATGGTTTTTCTTGTCAAGATGTTGGTGTGTTGATGATAGAATTCTTAATTCTAGTTAAAAATTTGTAATTTGAAATATCTACAAATTTCTTCATTGACGACAACTGTTTTCTTTATTGACAATAACCATATACTCTATTGACAAGAACCATTTATTCCATGAATGACAACTAATTACTCTAATAACTATAACCATAAACTCTATTGATAACAACAATATGCTCCATTGACTAGTGAATCATTTTTCTCTGTGACTTGTGTTTTCTTCTTCCTTATAGATGTTAATAAACAATGTCAATATAAAAATTTCTAAGTTGAAGCTTAGTATTAATGACTAGTATGCAAAAATCTCTTTTCAACATATCTAACTGAACTTTTCTTTTTTTTTCCAGATAAAGGAAGATTGAAGAGAAAGTAAAGACAACAATGAAGAAATATACTGTTTCATTCCATACGCACTACTCTTTTAGTCAATTTATTGAAGTATCAAAATATGTGAAGGAAAATGAGAAATTATAAAAAAGGGTGGAGAAGTTAGGATTCAATAGACTACTTGATATGTCCTATAAAAAAATTTTTGATAGAACTTTAGGATATAATTTTATTAATAATCATCTCTTTTTGTATAATTAACTCATTTCGTATAGTTAACTTGGATAATGTTATTATAATGCTGATTACAAGTTTGTAAATGTGGTAAATATTGAATGTTGACAAGTGTTTATCACTTTATTGACAAGTAGTTATTAGTATATTGACAAGCTATTAATTTACCATTGACAAGTGTTAAGGCACTAGTTGCTGTTATTCTCTTCAAAAATCAACCAGTTAAAAGAACATGTTGACTACTTGCTGTTGGAAATTAATAAGTGGTTATAATTATATTAATAAAGTAGTAATTCGTCATTAACAAGTGCTAAGGCTACTATTATTCCCATTAAAAATTAACAAGGTGTAAGAACCTATTGACTACTTACCGTTAGCAATTGATAAGTGGTTATAATTATATTAATAAAGTATTAATTTATTATTGACAAGTGTTGAAACACTAGGTGCTGTTATTCCCTTTAAAAATTAACAAGGTTCAAGAACTTGTTAACTACTTGCCGTTGGCAATTGACAAGTAGTTATAACTATATTGATAGAGTAATAATTTGTCATTGACAAAAAAATTAACAAGGTTTAAGAACCTGCTGACTACTTGCCGTTAGTAATTGACAAGTGGTTATAACTATATTGATAAGCTAGTAATTTGCTCAAAAAAAATTGCCATTGACAAGTGCTGAGGCACTAGAGGCTGTTATTCCCTTCAAAAATCAACTAGGTGCAAGAACCTATTAAGTACTTACCATTGGTCATTGATTACAAGGTATCACTTCATTTTTAAGTTATGCATTCGCTATTGACAAATGCTAATATATTAGGTGCAATAAACAAAAAAAAGTAAACAAAAAATAAATTTCAGATACATAAACAAAAAAGTACACTTGTCTCTAATATTTTGTAACATGGATTAGGATTCTTGTAAGTCTTGAAGGTATGACTAGTCTTATGACATCTTTCACGATGATAAATCTTTTTGTTTTAGAGTTGAGATTTCCTTCTTTTATTCTTTGACCTACCTGAAGACCTTCTATTCATTAATGTCTCCCTATATGGAAAAAATATAATATATGTTCTCTAGAAGAATTTGCTATCTTACAGGTCAACCTACATCACACACAGTGTATTAACAAACTACACATAATATATTAACAACACATTCATCCACTATTGACGAGATGCAGTATTATTTTATAGTAGAGATTTTCAACAAAATAAGCTTGCATCAGATGCTTGAGAATAATATATAAAATGTCTCATATGAGAAAAAAAACATAACATAATACACTTTTTCCAGCAGTACTTGCATTCTTACAAGTCAACCTGCACAATACAGTGTATCAACAACTATTTACAGCATATTGACAACACAAGAAAACACTATTAAGAACATGTAGAGTTATTCATATTAGATATTTTTCAATGTATCAATGTTGCATCAACTTATTCCACGGATTAGCTTTACAAACCAAATGATTGCAGGTATACCTAGAAAGCATTATCCTACTCTTAAACAATAATGAAATTATTAACGCACAAGAAATCGTATACCTGGCCAACAATGGATATGCTGTTATCAATCGATAATTTACCCAATTTTATAGCCAACAATCGTTTACCCAAAAAAATTGTTTTTTATCAATGAAATGCTGTTGTTGCAAATGAAAGATTCCCAACTCGCTTAGATGAAGACAAGGGCTGTACTCATGGATATGATGAAGTAAAAATTACCCTATTGTAATCAACAAGCATGGATATGCGACAATCTTCAATATATCTGATCATGGGTTTCGTAAGACGTGCGGGCACAAGTAAAATCTCCTTTTTAATGTTGGAGGGCAAATGAGTAATTTTATTTTCAGACTTATTCATCTTTAAGTCCCTTGAGATCCAGCAGTGATTTTTTAAATTCATAAGACCTTAACGTATTTTAAGTGTTTTTATAGGATCTCAGAGTGATTTTTTCATTTTTTTTAAGGCAATCCTATTCAAGATATTATCAACGCTAAATATAAATACAATTTTTTAACAGAGATTCAAAGCTTGATTGCTAATTTATAAAAGAAGTGCAGATTTTGATAGACGATGATTGGGAAGCATCACTACTCACTGCCTTGCGTTGTAGGATCTCAGACCTTGTCGTGTTCCTTTATAAAACAAGAAAGTAAGTCAACGATGAATAAAAATTTAACTAGAACTCTAGAGGCTCGAATTGGCGGAAAAGAAGATGAAGAAAGGAACATAGAATAAAATGGCCCGCTCCTTATATCAAATGCAATTCAAAAATTATTATAATGTCTATTTTTTAAATACGTTAGCTAGGCCTAATTTTTTTTCTTTGGATTAAAAGGTAACAATTAAACCGTGCTAATTGATGAGATGAGTCTTATCAGTGCACAAAAGATTATAACAACCAAATGATGGGATATTGAAACTATGACCATATAAATTATTAGCAGGGGCTTGATAAGATAACCAGTCCATACATTTATTTACTTTCTTGAAGATGTGGTCAAATATGATTGTCCAGCCTTGCATGATAAGGTCTATAATTTTGTTGATAGTTTTTGAAAAGTGGGTGATTGCTTTTCGAATTAACAAGATAAACGAGATAAAGAACTCATTGCGAATTGATGAAATAGCTTCTACAGAGTTAGAGGAAATATTAATTTTGTCAAACTTTTTGACCCAAAAAATGTGTAATCCTTTCAAGATTCCCATAAACTCAGCTGGTGTGTTTGGATAATATCCACGGTATTTGGAGAAACCATTAATCCAATTGCCTTGGTTGTTTCAAATGAGATCATCACAAGTAGCTACACCATGGATGTTGACAGAACCATCAATAGCTAACCTAACCCATCATTTTTCAAGGGAGGACCACAACAGCAGCTCTATTGCCATTCTAAGATACTCCCTTCGTTTCTATATATAAGAGACAAAAACTGTATCATACAATTTAAAAAAAATTAGTTAACCATAATAGTTATATTTAAAAATAAAAAAATTAAACTAAAATACCCTATTTTAATCAATATAAGAATGCGTTAATTATTTTTTCATTAATATAAATTATAAAGGATGATTTAAAAAATATGTAATAAATGCCTATTAAAATATATGATTTTATTTATATAAAAAAATAAAAAATAATAATTTATTTTATAAATAAAAATGTAGTAGTAAAAAGTTAATTTTAAATTAAAGACATTGATCCCTGAATATATCCTCAATCTTCATGAAAGCAATGTCTTTAATTTTGACGTCTTCTTCATGGTGCATCCCACCATGATCTGGAAATGGGCATCCCACCATTCCTATTTCCTGCCAGGGAATAATGGCGTCAGCGTTGCGTGGGTTAAAATTCATGATTCCGATGTAGCCACCGGAACTCGCGTGCCCTCACAATCAAGCGGATGCAAGAAAATTCAAAGGAACAACACAAGCACGCTCAAAGCTCAATACAATTACAAGCCCATGCCCATCGGATAGAGTTAGAAAATAGAAATAAATGGTTCCCAAAAAATTAGACAGAGTGCTCTGCTCAATAATCCAACGCACAGATTCCTAATTAATCATTTGAATCATGGTTATTGTCAGCTAAGCCTTCTACAAGGCGTGCAAAAACCTTATGATTTCAATCACTGCCGCCGAACGCCGATGAATTTAAAAATAAACTCGGGCTTATACTATAGCAAAGAATGTCACGACTAGTGGGACCCAGATTAGGATCATAGCCTATACGCACGAGTCAACTGAAGAACAGGTGCCTTAGATCCCGCAAGCAATGCCTTGCATCTTATAATGCTTAATCATTCCAAGAGCGTAGTATTCATGTTGGAAATGTAAAGCTACTCAGCAAAGTATCTATTTCATTTCTATATAAGCCAGCTTGACTCTTACGTTCTTCAACAACCTCTAAGGAGAGCAGGGGAGATCAGATAAAATGGGTTCAAAGCAGGTCTTCTGGTTTGCGATTTTGTCCCTTCACTTGGCTATCATCTTGGCCTCTGATCCTGATCCCCTTCAAGACTTTTGTGTACCCAACCCAAGATCTGCTGGTTTTATCAGATCAACAGTCCATGGTATGATCACAATTCCACCTTGCAAAAACTCCTCCGAGGTCACCACCGATGACTTTGTCTTTTCCGGCATGAAAGTTGCCGGGAACTTCTCGGACACTGGCCTAGCAGTGGTCTCTGCGAGTCCTGCTACCTTCCCCGGGCTCAACACTCTGGGAATGTCATTCGTGAGGGCAGACATTGAAGTGGGAGGCATTAATCCGCCCCACTTTCATCCGAGAGCCACCGAGATAGCTTATGTTGTAGAAGGAAGAGTTTATTCAGGTTTCGTGGATTCCAGCAACAGAGTGTTTGACAGAGTATTGGAGCAAGGAGAGGTCATAGTGTTTCCCAGAGGTTTGGTGCACTTCCTGATGAATGTTGGTGACAAGCCTGCTACGTTATTTGGAAGTTTCAACAGTCAAAACCCTGGCTTGCAGAAGATACCGTCAGCTGTATTTGGTTCTGGGATTGATGGGAAGCTTTTACAGAAAGCTTTTGGATTGACTCCAAAGCAGATTGGCAGCATGAGAAGAAAATTTGATCCCAAAGGGGCAAGGTAGAGCACAAGTAGTAGTGCATATGATGTTGTCTGTTACTCGAGTTATACGCTGAGGTTCAGTTTTCATGGTTTGTTTGTCTGTCTGTTTCTTTTAGTTTCCTTCCCTTGTGAACCCAATGTAGATGACGAATGGAGTGCTTCTTGGTTATGTAATATATCTAGATCTATGCTTCGCGAGGCAGCAAATAGTCCCTTCCCCAAACCACACACAAGGGTTAAAGAAAAAGAAATATTGATGTGTAAGTGGTGTTAATCATTCGTTTTAGCCACCCCAAACTCAACAGTGCGGAGGAATGATGAGGACGAGGAGTAGTCAGAAAGAAAGTGAAAGACATGATAATCCACACATATCCCAAGAACTCACATTCATAAAACGATAAAGCACAACATAAATAGCTGAATTTAGAAGCCCACTCTTATTAGCAGTGGCTGAGGTTTTTTAACTCACAAGTTTACAATAAATTTATGTCCTGCTACCACTTTGGCGTATTATATGCTCTTTGAAGTATTTAATATAAGACACTTTTTATTATTTTACACAATTTAAAAAAATTAATTTTTTTATTGATATCATAAAAAAATGAGATGTACTTCTATTTATACTATTAATTTTAAATAATAATATAATTATATTAAATGTCTTTATGCTAATTAAAAAAGGATAAAGTTAAAAAAGTAATTTAATTATTATAAAAAGTACCTTAGGAATAGAACCAAAATATATTGGTACACTTTGTTATTTTCTCTTTTTCGAAAAGTCTGGCACAAAAATAAAAATAAGATATGATATTGTTATAGCAAGTGCCAGTGTTTGGTATAGCCGTATAGCAACTTCCAAATTCAAGGTATCAATTAAAATTAGACCGAGTCTATTTTTGTATGGAGTTTAATGCCAGCCACATTGTTCATGATTTTTGAATTATGCAACAACAACAACAACAAGCTTTTATCCCACTAAGTGGGGTCGGCTACATGAATTGCAAGACGCCATTGTGCTCTATCATTTATCAAGCTTTTAGAAATATTATTAATTAAGAGATCACGTTCAATAACTTCCAAGAATGTTCTCTTAGGCCTTCCTCTACCTCTCTTAATCGGACTCAAAGTTATATGTTCCACTCTTCTCACTGGTGCCTCCCTTGGTCTTCTTTGTACATGCCCAAACCATCTCAACCGATTTTCTACCATTTTTTCTTCAATAGGTGCCACCCTCACTTTTTCGCGTACGTGCTCATTTCGAATTTTATCTTTACGTGTATATCCGCACATCCATCGTAACATTCTCATCTCTGCTATTCCAACTTTATGCTCTTGCTGTCCCGTTATAGCCCAACATTCCCTACTATATAACATTGCCGGTCTGATAGCAGTGCGATAAAACTTTCCTTTAAGTTTATTAGGCACCTTAAGGTCGCAAATAACTCCTTTAGCTTTTCTCCAATTAAACCACCCAGCTTGAATTCTATGTGAAATATCTCTACTGATTTCGCCATCATTTTGAATAATGGCTCCCAAATATCTAAACTTTTCCACTTGAGGTATAATTTGGTCTCCCAATTTCACTTCCAAATTATTGTCGAATAGTATTATAAAGATATATATATATATATATATAGATTGAGTCATGCTTCATGAATTACAAATTTAAAACCTTTATAAATGATCATATCTCAGTATTATCGCTTAATTCAAAATATACGTTTAGTCACTTGTCCTTGCGTTTCTTTGCTTGTACGCATATGCTTAATTGGCTGCAGATATGAAGAAACATTCTGGTGTTAAATAGTCTTCCAAGCAGAGAGCGTAACTCTCAGTCTCACATGACCCTCCTTCTAACGAATTATAAATTCTTTGACTGTCACTTCTAACTCATTTCTAACCAAACTTCAAATTAGCGGCATGCGAGAACAGAAGTCTAGAATTTGATCATGAAGTAGCAACTGGGTTCTCGCAAGTTTATTCACATAAAACCACACAATTAACCGGAACATGCAAATTAAATTGATCGATACAATTCAAAAGCTCCTTAACACAGATATGCATTGTAGGTGACTTGTGATAACCAGCAATCTTTACGGACGCCATATTCCCACTAACAAGCGACTTGACAATTGCATCACTCATACCATCAGCAAAAGGAAACAAGTGACCAGCACCTGGAATCTCATGATATTGAATCCATGAAAGTCTTCGTGCAATGTATCGTTGCAGTTTAACAGGCACTAGCAAATCATCATCTCCTTGCCACAGATGGGCAGAACCTTCATTATTTCGAAATGGGTTTTCCAGATCTGCAGGACTAAATTCGCACTTACCCATTCCAATTACGATGTCACGGTGACGGGTTTCATAATCTCCTTGCTGTCTTATTTGTGCCTGTGGAAGCCACATTAGAAAAGAAAATTGTAAAACTAGTTGATGTTCTAAGGATTAGGGTTAGTTCAAAATTAAGCGCATGTAACAGTTATCGAACCACAATTACTTAACAAAACTCCCAAAACGAATATTGAAACACCAACTTTATACAGTTGTTACCAACTCTGATCCTGAGAAACTCTTCGCTGAGAAAGTGCAAAAACTGAATTACATAAACACAATGTTAAATTATTAGTGGATTTCTAAGATTTCAACTAATGCCTTTCATTCCATTGCATTCAGAACAGAACTACAATGTTTTTAATCAACTGAAGGACAGTTACATACCACATAACTCTTTCTATCAGCACCCCTAGAAATAAGGTCGCGGTCTTGGCGTGAAAGAATATCTGCACTATCAGCAATTATGCTAGAGGCAGGGAACAATCTTTGAGTGCTCCACCAGTAAGTCAGCCACGGCAAGTAATGAGAGACACGAAGGGTCCATTGGTCTTGTAGGGTTTGTCGGCTATAAGCTTCTTTAGTTAGGTTAGCAGGAAGACCAGGCCACCAGTAATTGATAGATGGGGCTAAGAGTACCGCACCAGCTAGCCTGTGAGGGTTGAACATTTTCCTCAATGCAAGGAACAGACAAATTGTAGCTAACAACTCTATGTCACACCACCATGTACGAGGATTTGAAAATAGAATAAAAAGGCAGAGAAAGTATACGAAAACCATGTTTAGTGATTTTTTATGTCAACAGAATTTCAAATGACCTGAATGAGATTACTACCTTTGACGTATATACTTAAGGCAGCTCCAAATAACCTGTCCACCCATGGAGAAACCAATTACGTAGAATCGAGACCCTAATTGCAGCTGATCAGCAAGCTCTTCAATATCTAAGGCCAGGCTCTTTACTGTTCGATTTGGATCAGGATCACTTTCTCCATAGCCAGGTCTGTCAAAAGACACAATGTAGACTCCCAAGCTTTCAGTAATTTCCTGGACAAATCCACCCATAAATTAAAATAGTAAAAGGCTCATAAATATGAAAAATGTGAAAGCAAGGAAAAAAAATGCATATGTTAACATAAGTTCTCACTGGAAATAGGGTTTGGCAACCACAGCATCATGCCTGCAAGAATAAAAACCATGGACATAGATGATTTTATATTTTACTTCATCTTTTCGGACGCCATGCTCTTTGTATGCCAGGTGTCTTCCATCTCTCAGTTTGATTCCGGGTGCTGATATAGGAGGTCCATCTGGAGAGCCACGTATCTTGGGAGGAGGAGGTCGGATAGCCAGAAAAGCCCATGCTAGAAAACCACCAAACAATACTGCAAATGTTGTCCTAAGCAATCCTGAGAAATTAGAAGGCTAATTGGTCAATAAATTATTCATTGCATTAATAGCTGTGAATCTCCCTCTAACTAAGAAACTGGGACGAACAAAACAAGAAGTGAAGAATTCTATCTCAGAACCAAACAAACAAGGGAAAAGAACCATCGCGATCAAAAATAACCGTACCAGAGACAACAGGGCAGATGAGTGGACCAGGTATAGTGCATTCCAAAACTTTATATTTGCACCGCTAACAAAATAAAACTTGCACTTCTAATAAGTAATAGGCGGGATAATTAAGCCTCGTCTGCGTCGTCACTTTCCCTACATTTCACGCAGCACTTCCTTCTCATACTACACTTTCTTGAAAAAAATCAACAAATACATTTTTGTCTTTCTGCCGCACACAGGTTCAATGCGTGCTTCGTTCTAGAAATTAGTACATTGGATTTTATTGGTCGAAGCACGTAGCAACACCAAGACATGAAATTCAACAAACAGAGGGGGAAGGGAATTTTACAGGAGCCAGATGAAGTGAGAAGTGTTGGTGGTCTAATATTACAATTTAAACCATGGCAAACAAAACTTTCGGCGAGATGGATCGAGGAGGCCCGGGTGGGGGGGGGGGATGAAACAGGCACAAGAAAGAGGACGAACTGAGCTGCTTTTCCCAGGTCTACTAGTGGGAACTGTGGCTGATTCAGCAGAAATTTTCTTGCCAACTCCGGTCGCCATGCTCTGCCCCCCTCCCAACCTGTCTTTTATCAGACAAATACAACATTCCTCAATAAGATCGACTGAATCTCACATCAATTTCTACTTGAGAGGAGGCGAGGAAGCTAGGGTGTTCAACTTATATTCAATTCCATTTTGCCCAGTCATATGCGAGTCTCCTCTCAAATATTATACATATATGTATATGTGTGTGTACTATTTTTTTTATTTTAAAAATATATATTAAATATATTAATTATATATAATATTTATATTAATTAAATCAATTTTAAATTTAATATATATAATTTTTATTTGAAATTAAAAATTTTTTTATTGATAATTTTAATGGCACAAAATAAACAGTACAGAGTGATTTTTTTTTCTAATGTATTAATTATATTAATACAGTTTATATTCTATTTAATAATTTTTGTTTATATCATGTTTTTTGTTTAATTTTAAATAGAGTAATTAGCTTAAAATATTTTAATTAAAGAAGAAGAACAATGATTTGATATTACGATTGACTTGTCTATTGTTATTGCTTTTATAGCCTAAAAATCACTTAGAATTAATTGTTGTGATATATGTATTTGTGTTATTTTTATTTCAAATTTAATAAATTATGTGATTCAAAATTTTAATGAATGTTATTATTCAAGTCTTTCTCTTACATTGTTTGATTTATCAAAGCTACAGGACGTTTCGATCTCATCCTGATTTCTGACGAGATGAGACACAACATGAAATAAGAGTTCGATCTTGATTTTTTTTTAAGACGGGACACAAGATAAGGGTGTTTCGGTCCTATTTTATGTAACATCCTAAGTTTTT